ATGGCAGAGGGCCTCACCCTTTGTCGGATGTGACAGTCCTCCCGCCAAGTCACGAGCCACCCAACCACCTACCACGAGATACTCTCACCTCTCGACACGATCGCCGCACCGGGTTATCACGACATGTAATTTGATGCCCAAGATCGGACCAAGATGCCTGTCAGTCGTTTCTTTCGTCGATGGCGAGACTCTAGGGGGAAGCTCTCGCCCCGTTTTGAGATTGCCGTCGACGGGCGCCTAACGACGAAGCTGGATGCCTGTCTTCCGATACCCTCGTCGGATGGCGATGGCGAGAGTAGTCGCCTCCTCAGATGTTGCAGTAGCCCATCGTGACAAGTGATATTCATCGCCTCATGAATACCAGACCCAGCCATCGCGACGGATATTTATATGGGAGGAACTACTCGCTAGAAAGGCTATTATCCCGTTCGAATCATCATCGCAATCTCAACATCAACACCATCATCGCACTCTTTGAGTCTCTATCTTCTTCAAGATATCCTCCAGCCATCTCAACAATGACTGCTCCGACCTCCCACAACCCGGTGAAGCAGGCCGTTGACGCGGTACATGCCACCCAGGTGACTCCAGCCAAGAGAGGCTACCCGTACAATCTGCCCTCCCGCAACCTCATCGTGGTCGTCCTCGGCGAGTTCTGTGGAACATTCATGTTCCTCCTGCTCTCCTTCATCGGAGCGCAGACCGCCCTCGTCACCAACTCTCCCGATGACTCCTCCGCTCCTCTCTCTCCGGCCAGCTTGATGTACATCGCTTCTTCCTTCGGTACTGCCATTGCCGTCAACGTGTGGATCTTCTACCGCGTTAGTGGTGGCATGTTCAACCCTGCGGTTTGTCTTCCCAACCCCTCACAGCCTCCTGCCCCCTCATCACACTAACACCCATCCAGGTCACTCTAGGTCTCCTGCTCGTCGGTGCCGTGAAGCCCCTCGCAGGGCTCTGCATCATCCCCGCCCAGCTCGCAGCCAGCATCGCCGCCTCCGCCGTCGTCTACGGGGTCCTCCCCGGGCCCCTCCTGGTCAACAACACGCTTGGCAACGGCGCCACCATCGCCCAGGGTTTCTTCATCGAGATGCTGCTCACCGCCCAGCTGGTCTTGACGGTGTACTTCCTCGCCGTTGAGAAGCACCGCGCGACCTTCCTGGCCCCCATCGGCGTCGGCATTTCGGTGTTCATCGCGCACATCACTGCCACAAACTGGACCGGAACATCGATCAACCCTGCTCGCTCCTTCGGGCCCGCCGTCATCGCCGGCTTTGTCAACTACCACTGGATCTACTGGATCGGCCCCTTCGCCGGTGCCATCCTGTCTTTCCTGGTCTACGCCATGTTCAAGTGGCTCGAATACCAGACGGCGAACCCCGGACAGGACGATGATATGGAGAAGGCACAGAAGCCTGTGGACGAGCGACCTCCGCTGGTTCCAAGGGACTCTGGCTTTGAGGTGGTTTCGCCCTTGGAGGGCGGCCACGGCCATCCATGAGTATCTGATCACAAGAGCATCACAATGGCTTGTCCGGGCTGATAGCTTACATTGTGTGACACAACCTTGGTAGAAGGGAATGGGCATGTGCCATTGACCTGCTAATCGCAACGAAAAAATTTTGCTACATAGATTGTACGCTTTGAAATATGGGGATAGCTATTTGAGAAGGGGGACAGGATGGTGGTTCGGGTTGCAATTCATTCGCTGTTATATCCATGTCATAGAAATCTTAACCAATCATGCATTTCGATTCATCGAAGATCGTGACCGATTCAGTGTCACCTCGAAATGGGATGACATGCAGGGCACTAAGTGCCTAGTTCGAAAAACGGCTCGTTACCAGAGCCATGTTTGAGAGCTTGTGATACGCTGGCTTGAACCAATGATCGGGCTTTGGGAACGTTTTTGGCCGTTGATGCAAGCTGTGCAACATCCGACAGGATCTATACTGCTTCCGATATGACTTAACACGTGGCGAGGCGTTGCCAATAATACTGCAGGCATCAGATGCAAGCTTCCCGCACCATCGTTCGTTCTTGTGCGTGACCACATACGGCTGTGCAAGCTTGCAAGCATAGAAGAACCTCCAATTTACTCCGTGTCTGAACGATCCACTTCTATCCTACTAATTAATTCTATCATCTCTTTTGACTCCCACGTTTCTCGTACCTCCTTTGGCATTACTTCTATCACGGAGTTTTCCCACCTCTTCCCCGCTTCTGCGAGGTCTGAGACTGCTACGTAAAACCTTTCCAGGACAAAAAGCTTCTTCTCTATGCTCGTTTTGCCAAGGGGGAACCATTCACCTGCCTGTCCAAGAATTCTGATGGCAGGGCATATATCCAGCTCTGTAAAGGATGCTACAACAAGGTCTGATCCATCAGCCAACCGCTTCATTGACTTTGCCATCCTGTCGAACAAGCAAGTCAACGGGGATAAACTCGCGTTGTTCCAGACCAGTTCAGATTTTTTTCCAGGTGTATTCAGGAGATATTCGAATCTGCGGCTGAAAAGATGCCGGTGTTGAATCGATTTCAGAGGAAATTCGATGGCAACCAGGCATAAGGCTAACTGTCGCAGAGTGCAGCGGCTTTCGTTGACACGATTCCTGCATACGGTGATCAGGAATTTGTAACTAAGACCGTGCAGCAGATGTAAATCCTCAGCAACCATTTCCGGTATCAGTTCCATGTCAAGACTGATACTGCTGGTCTCGAGGAGGAAGTGCAGATCTGCATCCGAGAGACTTGCTGCGGGGCAAGCGTGCAAAAAGGCGATCGCGAGCTCCATGTCGAGGTCTGGAAATCCTGCGCCTGGGACATGAGTCTCCCGGGTGCGTCGAATGATTGTTGGAATAGTTTTCCGGAAGATTTCTGATGCGTTTGAGAAGTTTTGGTGTTCCAATTCGAGGTTGGAGTTCAATGAAGATGTTATCGTCTTTAGCCTGGGCCGTTTTATCCGCTCGGAATCCTCAAACCAAGGCGAGCCTTTAACGGCAAGAATTTGCATTGCCAAATAAGGTTGCTGGAAAGTACTTGCCCAGTCAAATGCATCGCCACAGACTTGGACCCGATGATCCGGATTTGCTCCTAAAGACACAAGGTAGTTTGCCGTGGCTGCGTCTGAGGCAGCGATTGCATAGTGAAGAGGCGTTGAATCCGACCGGTCCTTGATATCAACATCCATGCCATGATTGTTGATTAAATCCGATAGCAAAGTGTGATTTCCGGCATACGCGGCAACATGAAGTGCCGAGGTGGCCTGTATATAGAAACGATAATCATCGAGTGATAGTTCAAGTGATTCGGTTCGCATCTCGTCTATGTCACTCAGTGCGTGGGTGGCCCACGAAAGAGACTTGGCGGACTCGGGCGGGACAACCAATTCCGTAGAACAAGCACCGGCGGCGAGCAGAAGGCGTGCAACTGACGTCTGTGTATGACATATCGCGTAGTGCAGCGGTGTCCACGCAGGAAATTCGCACAACTGCGGGTCGTTTTCCCCAAGTGGGGGGACCGGCCGATGGAGAATAGGGAGGCATCCGCAGATGTGTCGCCCAGGATTCTCGAGGTTAACGCCTTGCTCTATGAGCCACTCAACGATTTCGTATCGGCCTTGCATGACTGCAACGTGTAGCGGAGCAGCCCAAGCCCAGTCGTCCTCTTTGTCTTCTTCATCCATGTCCGGCCCCCGGTCAATATGGTGGGCTCTATCCCAAATGCCCAGCACCTGGTCGCAGAAGGGTTGAGGAAAGGCTACGTCCAGGTCCGCGCCGTAAGCCGCTGCGACCTTCAAAGTATCCAGGTTCCCGGCCTTCACAGCGCCGAGAGTGAGAGGGTACAGATTCTCCTCCATGGCGTTGCGATAGAGCTCCCGGTTGATGAGGCTGTGCAGTCGACGGTTGGTGCGCACCAACGCAGCCAAGTCGCGTCGCTCGCTGAATTGCGCGACTTGTAGCCACGTCTCGACCGGAAGAGCCATAGCTCCAGCCATGTTCTGGGCTGTTGATCAGTATCTGATTGCTTGATTGGTTGGTCGCCCCGGCTGTCACTCACGCTGTAAAGGTAGGTATCTTGTGATGAGTGTCGAAGATGGTATGAGAAACAGACAATCTTAGCGCGAGGTGCACAGGGACAGAGAAGCTTGTCAGGGGTCTGCCAGATGGCAGACACTCGGCATCGCCTGGCAGCGAGGGGTCAGGCCATCCTTGTCAGTACCTACCTTAGGTCTCGCTGTTGGCGGTCTTCCTCAGCATCACTTTTGGTTTCGCATTCTACTGTTACTTGTAATAAATGATTACTTGTGCACTTGTTAACGCTAGACAGACGCTCAGGAGATTAAGACTGTATGAGGAAGATTTTCGACTCAACACCTGTCGATGGTACGATGACAAGATTCAGATTGACGGTTTTGATCAAAAAACAGACTCAGACGCTCTCAATTCACTATTGCTCAGCCTGTTGGCAGATAGGTACCTAGTGGTCTGGATGCTGTTGCCCTGTGTTCGACCATCTCCAACAACACCCAGTCACCGGTCATGAGAGCCGGCACGGCGACCAGAGACGCCCCACTCTGAATCCTGACCCGAGGATGCAAGCACTAAGAGAGAATAAAAGATGTTGGTTCCTCTTCGCAGCCGTTTGGAGTTGAGTCTTAAAGTTGCGCGAAACTGAGTGCAGGGTTGGGTCACGACGGCCCGAAACAGTTCTAACGCGAGCATAGAGGATTTCAAACTTCCTAGAAAGCACTTTTGAGATGTGACTCGGTCGTGGTGTTGTCTCCAGACGATCTATAATAGATCTAACTTGAATGTTACTCGGGACCAAATATAGCCCCGAAACTAAGTTCGTGGTCGCGGTTTGACCTTCGTAGATTACGACTACACAGTCCTAAAACAAATCCACTAATACTTCACAATTCCCTTTGGTTTCAGTACATAACTAAACGTTCAAACTATTAAGTACTAGATTCCGTGGGGTCCAATAGATGCCGAAATTTACGCCATGTACATTCCACAATCCTGCTCAAACTGAGATACCGCCCTTGTCAGCGCATCGTGGACACTAAAGCTTCTAGCTCTCATGTCATGAGGAAACAGACGATCTAGGGCATATCCAAATTCCCTTTTCAGATTCTTGGCTGTGTGTTCATTTCGCCGTAGTGACCAAGCGCCTCGGTCTCGGAGAAGAACGATGGTACGTGCGATATCGCGAAGCGGGTTTTGTTCCCAGTTGATAGGTGGCTCATTAAGGTGCGCAACCCAGCTTTTGTCAATCTGTTTCAGCAGAATTGCGAGAATAGAGATCTCGACACCTCCTTGCAACTCTATAGTTGGGGCCGCACCCTTGTCGAGAAGCCAACGGACAGTAGTATATGCGTTATAATGGGGTCGTATGACCCTTATCGTCAAACACAGCGCCAGCGACGCAAGTGAATTTTTTGATGTGTCGAAGTTTACCAGTTCCCAATCTTTACTGGCTGTGGTGACCCTCTTGATTTTATGTGGCGGCAGACTGAGTTGCAATTGCAATGCCTTATTCATTGGCGTGCTTCCAAGCTCCAGCTCTCCCTCATCAATGAAGGCTTCAAGATCTTGTGTACTGAAAGCGATAGACTGGCAGGCTCGGAAAAACGTAGCCTGAATCTCTTCCTCGGCGAGACGAAATTCGAAAGCAGCCCAGGTGCTCAAACTTCGTCGGCGTTCTTGTTGTCGCGTGAGTCGGAGAAAAAGGCGGAGATCCAGAGGAACAGCGTTGACATCGTGATAGCAGATGATGCTCTTCAGAGAAGATTCAATGGGTCCAGACCTAAGCCTTGGATTCCACACCGAAGCCCCGTGCTTGAGGAGTATGCTTGCCATTCTTGGGTCATATCGAAGAGCAAAGTCAAGCGCGCCCCAACGCATGCCGCCCGTTGGCACGCTATGCTGGAAATGATTCTGCTGACAATCTGGGTCCGCACCCAATGATAGAAGATGACGAACCATCATTTCGTCCTTTTCGATGATGGCGTAGTGAAGTGGTGTTGCGGCAGTCGCATCCACCGCATTCACATCTCCGCCAAGGTCTCTGACGACGAGTGTCATGATGGCCTCGGACCCTGACAGCGCGGCAATATGGGGTAGTTTGACGTTGGGTACTGACTTCCAGTGATCCCTCGCGTACATTTGTGGCCTGTAAGCCCCATCAGGGACTGACAACACCTTCCAAGCCCCATTTTCGAAGGGTGGTAGGTTTTCACGAGCGATGAGTGTGTCGTGGGAGCCGCCATTCTCAAGAAGCTCGCGAGCTATAGACTCATGGTTCTGACAAATGGCAAGATGAAGAGGCGTCCAGACAGGATGCGACGACCATGCTCCCATGCTAGTTCTTGGCCCACCGTAATTCATGCCAAGGCGGACGATTGCAGGCATGCATGGACACAGGAATCGACCAGGAGAGTTGACCTTGACTTTCTGCACGTGCACAAGCCATCTGACAATTTCTTCGTGTCCATGTTGAACAGCAAGATGCAGTGGGGTTGCCCAACACTGATCGAGTGGGATTCTAATCGGTTCTCGGCTTCCGTCATGATTCCAAATAGGAGGTGGGATTCCGTAGACTCTGTTCAGGTCCGCACCGAATGCCGCAGCGACTTTGAGGGTGTCCAGATTGCCCTTGGCAGCAGCAAGAACCGTGATTTCCGTACATGACTGTCTGACGGCTTTGCAGTATAGGTCGACTTGAAATATTCCGTACAACATTCGGTTGACCCGTGCAAGAGCGGCCAGCTCATGAAATGAGTCGACGTAATAACCAATCTCAAGCCAGATTTCCGGACTGGCTTTGCTGGCTGTAGGCATCTTATCCTCAGGTCCTCGATCAGTGCGTTTTTCGGTCTTGGAGATGTGATTAGCTGGCAGCCCAATGCAAGAGTTGCCTCTATATACTGAGCTTACAGTCTGCTTGATGTCGAGCCAGTTGTATGGAACGAGTGGTTCCCACAGCTCCCCACCAATGTTCCCTGTCAAGGAAGAGATAGGTTATTTGAAGAAGAAAGAGAAGGAGATGAAGACGCGCAAGTTGGAGATCAAGAGAAACCAGTACACAGGGTGAAATGGCATCTGCTCTTGTCCGAGGCGAAACCGTATCACCTGGCAGTGATACTCAAAAGGCTAATCGTATAATATCAACAAAGACTCATGAGTCGGGTCGCAACTCGTAGTCCGCTGACGGCCTCTGTCGCTATGCGCTCCAGGTCAGTTGGTCAAGGGCAAGTAAGAAAGGAGGTTTTTCTCGAGCGCGTTTGCTACCAACACGTGTTGCCAATGCCAACACCAACAACACCCCTGGCGGCTGGGATCCCCTCGAAATGTGGAGCCCGCCGAAGTGCATCACAAACTTGACGCCTCACGTAACAGATAACAGATACTGCATCCGAGAAAACCAAGTTGTCGCATCCTTCTCAATAGTCCCAGCTGAGCTCAATATGCCAAACTTCAATTCGAACCATGACCTGGTACTGTAAAAATCGCTGATTGCAATGTTAAGTTCAAGCAATTGATCAGTATTGCTGGAGTCTGAGGAGATCCATTCTAAGCCCGGTGAACTTAGCATCCATGTCACATGTGGACTTGGGCCCAACGACCTCAAAATGATAATTAAATACCTCTGCGAGAAGAAAAAGAGTAAAAGAGTCACCAAACAGACCAAATCGCTGTTTGAGAACTAATGAGTGAACACTAAGAACGCCTAAGCGCAATCACCAACTTCTAAAGAGCGAAACCAGGAACGAAAGGTATGAGAAAAAACATGTTCTCTCGGGCTCCCAATCTATGACCCCTGACAGCCGCTCACACCTCTACTCAATTGACCAGTTGAGCACTCTGTGAGACTCTGAGGCAGGCACCGAGAAGGCCCAAGGGGGCTACCCATGAGGTTCGAAGAGAAAATTCCAAGACTGACTCGATTTTTCCTTCACTGGCGGTGCACAAAACGCCGTCTCAGCTGGCACACTGGGTGTTGTTTGAGCCTCCAACAAATCGACGGAAGAAACGCGTAATCCCCGCAGTCCATTTCCCTGGAGCCTTCTGCTTTTGTTCGCGTGTCACTTGAGGCGCACAATAAATAGGCAACGTCTCCTCCGGCTCGTCGTATTCATCATCGTCATCGACATCAAAGTCGAAGTCCGGCCAGGACGGCGATGTAGCTGGCACCACCATAGAATACGAAGCACCAGCCAAAATGAGATACCGCGCAATCTCACCATTCCCTCCACAAAGCGCATGATGCAGCGGCGTCCACGCAATACGCTGGCTGAATATTTTCTTCGTCATTGTCCATTGAGTGCTTTGCTGATTCGAGACGCAATGACAAAGATATCGCGCTGGGGCATTGATGTTGACGCCGTGCTCGATCAACCACTTCACCACATGCATGTGGCCGTTTCTCGCAGCCAGATGGAGTGGCGTACCCCAACACGTCGTCGAATAAAACGAGTCAATGCCGAATTGTTCGAAGCTGGCCAGCAACTCGACAGACGGCTCGACGGGACGCACACGCCCGAGATCGGCGCCGAAAGCCGCGGCAGCCTTCAGTACCGCGAGCTGGCCATTCGCTGCAGCTGTAGTCGCGATTTCGGGAAGATCTCTCTCAATCGCATCGCGGAAGAGTTCCCGCTGCAGGATACCGCAGAGTCTATGGTTGACACGACAGAGAGCGGCGATACTTGAGGTCGAGTCAAGGTGTTCAGCAATCTGAAGCCAGATTTCGTCAGGGAGGCTTTGGATCGACATATTGCTCTCTCAATTGAATGCTGAGGAGCGACGGTGGCTGGAGAGGTGTCAGCCGGCCAACTCGGATGTCAAAAAGAGATATGCGCGAACCTATCAAATGAAGAGAACTTGGGGTGATGGTGACTTGCAAGAATACGTCAGGCTTTGGAAGATGGCTGAACCACGTTTTTGCGATGGAAGGAAAGAAAATCCATGAGGCAGCTTCCATTCTCAGGGTTCATCGCCAATGTTGGCGGTTTATCGGCCATGTCTCGGAAAACGCGTCTTGCGTCGGGACTGGAATGTCAAACTGGCCATCTTCACCCGAGAAACTGCGTGAGCGGAATGCTAGGGCAGTTGTCGAGACTGTCGTTGGAATGAATGATCCAGTAAACAATGTCCCGGCCCGGGAGTCCCACACGGAGAGAAATTCTGCCCGAAATGTCTCCCTGGGTAGCCGCCCCGGTTTGTGGATTCATGGACCGACAGAGTGGGCCAATGCCCGGAGTCGGCGCCGGGGCGCTTCGGTTCCGTGGGGTGTTTGACATGTCAACACAGACAGGTACTACACAAAACATGAATTGGACACCTCCGGAGTCGGCTCATTACAGTAAAATCTCAGAGTTGATGGTACGCGGCTTTTAGACAGCTTGTCCGCAGTTGACAGCATAGTTCAGCCGTCCGCATGCAGTCCGTGTTGAACTCCGGCATACAGTCGCGACTACAACAGTTGAATATTCAAGATACTACACCCATCAACTCAATAACTTGGATGGGAACAGAAAGTCCGAAATGACAACATCCCCAAAGCTAAATTCGTACAGTACTACAATCCGGACTAGAAAGCACGAGATTTAAAGTTCTTCACCCAAGACACAACTCTGGCTAAATAGTTGCCTGTCAATAGTTAGAAACTAAGCGATGTATGATTCATGTCAAGGTAGCCGAGACTTGACGTGGAGTTGCGACCGAACTCTATCATATTATCCGTCCATGCTCGTTGTGGGATGCCGAGCGCAGGACCCATCGTTCTCTCAGAAATCAACTCATGGGGCTATTTGTAGCCACGGACTTTTGTATCGTGTCTCTGACCCTTCTCCTTGTTGACAAGAAATGCGCATGCCGAAGAATCCGGACAGCTGTATAAAGAGAGGACGAAGTTCGCCTTCAGTCAACTCCCAACTCCAGCATCACACAACTCATACCTTCCAACAACCTCTACAAACCAATCTTCACCCACAGTCTTTGTCTTTCGACACACAAAATCTTCAAAATGCAGATCAAGTACATCTTCGTCGCCGCCTTCGCCTCCATGGCCATGGCCGTGCCCTCTTCCAACGTCAACGAGGGCAACATCCTCGCCCGCCAGAAGGGCCCCGTCAACCCCTCCGGCCCCAGCTGCTGCACCTACGTCGGCAACTGCCAGGCTTCTTGCGTAAGTCGAGAACTCCCCATATCAACATGAGTTGGACCGAAAGTGAGGCTAACAAGACTTCCAAGTGCCCCACTGGATGCCCCAAATAAATGTCCGATTGTATGGCAGGTCGGCGCGGCAACTTGGCAAGACGGATATGTTTTAGCTACTTAGCTACTTAGGAACTGTTTTATCCTTGGTATTTAAGAGGGAAGTTGACTTTAAGGTCTGAGTAGAGCTGCATAGCATAGCAAACATCAATCAAGAATCAAGTTGAAGCCAAAATCATTACAGCGTGAATCCAGCCCTGCGCCCCAAAGTTGACATCATGATTGAAACGCTGGTTTGTCTGAACTCCAGTCTCTAAATGACAAGACGAACCCCACGAACCCCAACACCCAATTCCTCTAAGGCTATTTGACGGAGCACGGAGACTTCAGTTGTCAATCTCCGCCGGCGCATTTAATCAGTCCGGCGGGTGGGCATCTTGGGGGTGGGATACCGAGCCAACTGGGACCGGGGCTCCGCACACCGCCGATCGACGGCATCGTCGCAAGCCAAGAGGACCCGTAACCGTGGCTTCGGGAATGAGAAGACGCCGTAGTCCGCCAGGAGATCGCTAGCCTGAGTTTCATCGTCGCTATATGAGAGCATCGATATGATCTTTCAGCAATGTGGGTGGGTGGCTGGACTGCCACCACCGGACGAACATGGTTGCATGAAGGTACTCAGCTCGCCCCAACAAAGGTCTAGACAAACCCATCAAAGACCAATGTGAAACACACGAGAACGACAAAGCGGCATGATTGCAATGATTTAATTACCAAAGGAGTTCTCCCCTCCTCAAGGCCCTTATCCAGCGTGCTATCCCGCGAAAGCAAGCTATTTCGTGTTATTTACACAATGTATAGTACAACCACAGCCAGAGGGCGCGTGTAATTACATCCTCACACCCTCTCGTCGCCGCCCATGCTCTCTTCCTCGTCGCTGATATCGTACCCCATCTCCCTCGCGTCCTGCACCCTCTCCCTCGCCACGCGCGCCTCGTGCCATGCGTCCCATCTCGCCTTGTCCTCCGGCGATTCCTCCGGCCGCTTGACGAGCCCCTTCTTGCGCAGACGGCGACGAAGCTGGCGCTTTTCCCAGAAATCGAGAGTCCGAATGTCGATGGTCGCGATGTCCGTGCCGGTAAGGTAGTCCTCGAGATCGGCCAATAGGTCTGATGCGTCTTCAGCGAGCTGGTTGGCGACTTGACGACCCCAGCCGTTGGTAGTCCACTCGTCGATCTTGACAGGAATCGCGTAGCCCCAGGTAGGATCCGTGGCCGACCAGACGCAAGGCGTTGATGAGCAAGTCGTCGGCCGACAGTAGAGCTCGCACATGGCCGACTCGGCGGCGTACCAGACTGCGCTGATGATGACGAGCAAGCCAAGGAAGGTGATGCGCAGAGGATTGCGGTGCATGAGTTGGGGGATGGGAAGCTGAATGACGTTGACCTTCTCATCGGAAGAGATGCTGGTGTGGTCGGCAGTCTTCTGGGTGGCGGTGGGTTGCTGGAATGCAGTTCCCTTTGCCTGCTGATCTTGTACCATCGCAATCATCTTCTCCATCTCGCTGATCTTGTTCTCGTTGTACGTGGGGTCGGCGTGAGACACCTTGTCCTCCAGGCGTTCGATGCCCTGCTTGGCGGAGCGAATGCTTCGAAGCCCATCTGTGAGAGTCTTGGTCATTCTGTCGATCTGCTGCATCGTGTGGTCACGTTCGTCACTGCTCAGGTTGGCGCTGTTCGCAATTTCCTCCCGCTTCTCGTTAATCTCGTCAAGCATGCTCTCCACGGTCTCCTCGGTCTCAAAATCGGGGGGCAGAGGCTTTTGCAAGTTAAACATTTCCTCCAAGTCGTCCAAAGTCGAGTCCTCGATTTGATGGCGGCGCTGAAGCTCCAAAAGGTCGTCCTTCACGGTCGGTGGCTTCACCGAGTTCATCAATGGTCGTCGAGGTCTAGATGAGGATTTGCGCCGGCGGAGCACAGAGGTCGTGGTCGTGCCTGCAGTGTCTTGCTCCTTCTGCTCGCTCGATTCGGATTCGGATGCGTTGGCATTGGAGATTGATCGCCCTCTCAAGGAAGCGCGGGAGTTTCTTCTGCTTGATGCTCGGCCATGGCTCGTAGAAGGTCTGGCTTCAGACTTGATGGCTGACTTGAGCTCCTTCTCCTGTACCTTGTCGACCCGAACCGTTGCGGGAGTGTCTACGTATGCGCCTGTAACCTTTGGGGTAGGGAGAGAAAGTGGGTCCGTCTTGACCGGGCGAGGAGTTTCCTCAGCGAGGAGGTCCTTATCCTCCTCAGAATCAGGCTCGATCGATGGCGGCCTGGTAGAGCCACGTTCAGATTGGCCGTCTGTGGGCGCAAACAGCATGATCTCCTGCTCGATGCGATCTGTCGGATCGCCATCGGAGGCCGCCATGCTCTTCCTGCTGTCCTTAGAAGATTCAGTCGAGCGTTGGCGTCGTACACGGCGCAGACCAGCAGACACTGGCCGCTCAGCCTCGATGGTTTTGGGCTCGTCTTTGGAGCTGCTTGAGGCCTCATCTGACTTGGGAGTTGGCTCCAGCTTCTTCAGAGTGTCGTTGCGGTTACGTCTCGTGACTTCTGCCTTTTCCGAGTCCGATGTCTTGGGACGATCCTCGCTTCTGCGGCGAGGGACGTATGGCTTTCTGGCGGGTTCCTCAGCCTTCTTCAGGTCCTCTGTCTTCTTCGGTACCTCCTCGACCGGCGTTGTCTCGGCGGATGGCTGATCCTTTGTCTCCTTTTCTTCGACCACATCCGTCGTCTGCTTTTCCTTGGCCAACGGCTCGGCGACCACTTTCTTGATGGCTTCCTTCGGCTCTCGCCCCGCAAGCCTGTCCTCAGAGTTACGCTCAATATCCTCCGCAAAACCCTCTCGAAGTCTCTCAATGGTCCTAGCCGGGTTTACTGTCCGTGATGCGGGTCTCTCCTCGTCGTGCTTGATGGTGTTCGGTTGGGTATCTTTCTCGGTCCTGTCGTCGGTGGCTGCTTGAGGCTTGACCGTCTCGGGCGCTGGGCTTCCAGCTGGGCTACTGCTAGCAGCTCTGGCGAGCCTTTGCAGCAGATCTCTTGAGTCTGTTCGGGTATGCTGCAATTGAGGTCGGGCGGGCGACTTCGGGCTCGCCACTTTCGCCTCCGGCTTCGTCTCTCTGGGTGCGCCGGCGTTTTTGTAAATAGTGACAGGGGTGTTTGCAATGTGTTCGCCTTCGTCCTGGTTCGTAGGCTGCCAGGCTTCCCTCTTGCTCTCTCGGATAGGTGTTGACTCTTTGTCGACTCGTTCGGCCTCTGGCGAGAATTCTCTGGACATTGAGTTCCGCTCTCGAATCTCTTCCAAACGGCTTTCAGCCAAAGCTTTCTTCGACACAGACTCTGCCTCTCGAGCTCGGATGGTATCGAGTTTGGAGTTTTTCGGTCGAGGATGTTCCCTGACAGGCGGCGCGAGATCATCCTCGTCGGGTGTAGGGTAGTATGAGCGTGTCTGGGCCTTCGTCTTGGCCAGCTCCTCCTCAGCCTCGGCCTCTCTCTCGCGAATCTCCTCCAGTCGGGTGTTCCTTCCCCTCGATTGGCTCCTGCGCAGCTCTGCCAACTGCTCGTTTGCCTTCTCTTCACGTTGGCGAATCTCGTCAATCTTACTATTGGTCCGCGCTGCCCGTGATGAGAGGGGTCCGGCAGATGCTTCCCTCCGGAAAGGGCTTGATTCGGGCTCTTCTGCGTATGCGCTGCCATTGGAGAATCTTCGATTGGAGGCATCGTCGTATCCAGAGCCGCTAATTCTAATGCGCGGGCTGTCCGAGATCTGAAGGTCTCCGGCAGTGAAGTCGGCATCCAGCTGCCAGGCGAAGCTCTTCTCCGGCGATCGCGCCTCAGGGTTCGTAGAGCCCGGTCGCGAAGTTGGGGGTGTCGGTTCGAGTGCTTCAACGGAAGGCAGTGGCGTATTGGCAGCAATTTCCCAGTCCGGTTTGGGTGTTCTCTTGATGCCCTTGTCGTCCTCATCGAGAAGATGCTTGATCCAACCTTCCGGGACTGAGCTCTTGGCAAACGCCCTAGCACCAGGGCTGCTACCCAAACTGCCGTAGCTTGTCTTCCTACCCAGGTTTGGGCTGGTCCCATTCAAGCTCGAGTTGCTCGTTCGCTTCCCGAGTGTCTGGCCTCCGTTCAAGCTGCTGTTACTCGTGCGCCGCCCAAGCCCGGAGCCACCGTTCAGGCTGCTGTTGCTCGTCTTCCGCGCTAGTGTTCGACCGGTGTCCGCGATGTACGGCCCGACTCTCGTGTTGCCGAAGAGGTTTTCTGGCTGGCGGGCAGCGCTGGGCGACTCGGCCATCTCGCGTTCGTACTGGCTCAGTCGGCGGGTGAAGCTGCCGGAGCTAGAGCCGCTCTGCGACGCTGGACTTCCGCTGTATCCACCATAGCGGGCGACGTAGCTGTCGCGCAGCGAGTCGCTGGACAACCTGGAGAGGGGTCGGGCACGGCCGAAGTCGTTGGGTTCCTTGTTAAGGTTCTGTCGAACTTTGGCCTCTTCAGCGACCTGTCTGTTGTGGAAAGGGCGGGGCGCAGGGCTCGGGGAAGCGTCGACGGCAGGAGACGTTCTGCGCGTTCTCTCGAGAGGGCTGGGGCTGGGTCGGTCTTCTTCTCCCGCCAACGCCCAAACATCTGCTACGGAAGGAATTTTGCCCTTGGCGAAGACTCCAATTGTAGATTTGGGGCGGGGAAGTCGGGATCCAGGCGAAACAACATCGGCCGAATGGTTGGAACCGACTGACGGCGTCTGGGACATCGAGCTTGAGGGTCTGGGAATGGCGGCAGCAGCAGCTCGTGAAGGTGGTCGCATGGAGGCAGAGCTTGGAGGCCGGGGAATACCAGCTGCGCGAGAAGGTGGGCGCGCGTTCGTGGGGGAGAAGCCATAACGGTTTGTTGTTGCTGACGCTGCCGGGGCAGTGTCTCTTGGGTTGAGCGTCTCGCGCGACGGCTTGGAGAACAGCGGCTTGCGGCCCTCTTGGTCGATAGTCAATTGGGCTGAAGCACGGCGGTTCGGTCGCGCCCCGAAGTGACCCGGGGCGGCTGTATCGTGGTTCATGGCGGGTAAATCTTGGGGCCACGTTCTTTGGTTTTTGGTGGTGTAAGGCGTCAAGCAGCGGGAAGCTGCATGGTTTTGCGATGCGATGCGATTCGGCGACAAGTCGCGTCAAACACAGTTGACGCGACGTGAAAGATCAAAAATCGAGTCGCGGGTATGCTATGATTCGGTCGAGGTCATGTTCGTCGCGGCGATTCGCAGTCATCAGGGGAATATTGATCGCGCAAAAGGAGAAGGATAATAATTTGGGACGGAGAGCGAAAGTGATGAAGCGCGTCTCCCACTAAGCAGCGACCGGGGGGTGCTCCCCTGGGCAGGCGTGGGCCACCGTGGGACCTCTTTCCTCCTTGAGCTAAACCCCACACGGCCCCTCCCAAATATCGGCGCGGAAGAACCTTTTCGGAAATGACTAATCGGAAGCTGCCGGCGCAAGTGGGGCTCGTGCATGCGGTTCCTGAGTTCTGGACCCTGATGGCCGATTTGCAAAACGGTGCAAACCGTTGAGAAACGCCATGACCGTTTGGCTTTTTTCTGTTTCCCTTCTGCAACGGCTGCCTTTTCCTTATTTGTTCCGTAGGATCCGAACCATGTCTGCAAACCATGGCAATGCCCCAGTCTTCAGCTGGAAAGGAGAGGCCTCCACCACTCATTGCAGCTCATATCTCAAGCGAACATTGGAAGATTGCGCGTCATGAGAGACCCGGGGACTGATTCCCCCCTGCATCAGGATCAATATGAAGACGGCACAACAGGAAGCTATGCTCTTCTCAGTCGGGGACCCCTTGCATCAACAATGCCCGTGCACAAGAGCTTTGTGCTCACCAGCGCGATAAAACGGAGGGATGTCCACGCCTGTTTTTATTGACACTGCGTGAGCTTGGACCAATCGCGACTCAACCTCCCTGCTGTTCATTTTTAGCAATTCAACTCAGGGTCCAACCGCCATTGTCTGCAACTTGAGAGCTTGAAAGACCGCTCCACGTTGCCAGCCATGAAGCCTCAACTCACAGTGGCTCGGCCATGTGGCTACATGTAGGCGCCACAGACATATCCAATGCATTGCGAAAGCCTCTGACGTCTGCTACTACAGGGAGAAATACTCCACGGCACGCCACTCCCTGAATTTCTATCACTCTGTCTCCGTCACGGGCCGGTACGCGGTCCCACCTGGCACTGACAATGCCACCCTGAGAGACACTCTTCAGTGGGCTGTTGCACAAGTCGTCCTGGAGCAGCCCATGTTGCGGGTCGGAATCATCGATCAAGACAAACAAAGCACAAGCTTTGTTCATATCCCACGTGTCGATCTGTCGGAACATATCCAATTGTTCGGGTCATCGCGGCCCGACGAAGTGGACGCTGCCCTGAGCAAACATCTTTCATACCAGCATTCCCAGCTATGGCCAGATATCGAGCAGCGCCCACCGTGGAGGGTCTCCATCATCCCAATTTCCAATGGCGAAGAGACGCCATCCGAGGTTGAGATCGTCTACGCTTTCCACCATGCCATTAGCGACGGCACCAGCGGATCCATCTTCCATCAAAGACTTCTCGAAGCGCTGGGCAACCCCGTGAAAGACATTCCAGGCCTGGAAGGAAAGACGATCGCATTTCCAGAACCGCATGTGCTACCGTCACCGCAACATGAACTCGTCAGCTCGCGACTTAGCTGGACATTCTTCCTGGCCACTCTTTGGGACGCCTTTGGCCCTTCGTGGCTGAAGAGCAAACCCGCTATTCGACCGTGGAAAGCGCGCCCGATCGATCTTGCGCAGCCAAACGAGACCAGCACCCACATTTTGCGGATTCCTCCAGCGCTTGCGACGAAGCTGCTCGCCGTGGCACGAAGCCATTCTGTTACGCTGACGCCGCTACTTCACGCCCTCATCGTCGCATCCGCATCCCGGAGGATCCCAGTGTCCGAGGCACCGACATTTGAGCCCTGCTCACCCATCAGTCTGAGACGGTACCTGCCCGCCGATTCAGACTTTGACGCAAAGAACCAGATCCTCGTGCTCGTGACATCAGGAGACCATCCAATCCCGCCCGCTCTCGTCACCAAGCTCCGCTCATCGTCAGACAAAGAATACGAAGATGCCATTTGGGAAGTAGCCTCCTCCGTGAAGTCTACCATGAACGACAAGCTCGCGAGTCTGCCACACGACGACCCAGGATCCATGCTGAAATATGTCGGCGACTTTCACGACTTCTTCCGCCAGAAGAATGGTCAGGAACGAAGCAACAGCTGGGAGCTCAGCAACTTGGGCGCCATCAACGGAGGAAGTGGGAGCTGGAAGATGACGCGGGCGGTGTTCTCCCAGTCAGCGTCGGTATTGGGTCCTGGATTCAGTGCCAACATGGCGGGTGTGGTTGGGGGAGAGATCACGGTCACGTTATGCTGGAACAATTCCGTTGTTGAAGGTTCTTTAGTTGAGGGTGTGATTGCAGATCTGGACGCCTGGTTGCCAGAGATTGCCAGCCATAAACCACTAGCTATCTGATCTCTTCTAAAATCCTCTTGAGGCTCTTATGCCCAGGAGCGTTCGTTCGTATATTGTGTGGATTCCACATGTTCCTCCCAGAAGTCCTGTGCCATCAATCCAAGATCATTATCCCATATTCAGAGTCACCGTTCCAGTGCTTGCATCACCCTTTGTTACTAAGATTCCCACCTGATCTTTGTGAAGATGTGCCGAAACTTTGACGAGATAATCTTCAACTCGTCGGACCTGAGCTTGTTCCATTGACCAGAGAGCTCTGAACACTTCTCACCCTCCACAGTTGTACCAGCAAGAGTCCAAGAGCTCTTTTCCTCGGTGGAAATTCTTCCGGTTTCTTCTCGGGCATCCTTCCAAGCTCCTTGTACTCTCAAAAGTTCCATTGTTCTGATCAGGCAATCTGTATTTGTCAAAATGGTATAGCCGTCGTCGTCTAGCCATGGAATTGCTCTCACCACCCTGTCCAATGTCCTCAACATCAGTCTCTTGTCAATATGTGTAATAGGCTCACCAAACCATTGGTCGTCTAACAGAAACGTGATGCCATGCATTTGAGCAAACTTAAAGCTTCTTGTTCGGTGGTTAACCAACAGAGAAAGTGTCGATTGCCGCAATTGGACAACTGCATCTTCATCCAGAGCAAGTTTGATGATCTTGGCGTATTCAGAAAAGTCTTCATCGCAGAAATCTGCGTGATCAAACATAGCAATGAGTCCTTGTGCCAGGATGTCCTTCAGTTCATATGTTGATACTTCGTGGGGAACTTCGTCGATTGTCCGCTGCGCGAGCTTGAGGAATGCTTTTTTCTTTGCTGCGATTTCGTGTTCGTCATGGTCGCAGCACTTATCTGTAAGTCCACAGGACCGCGTATTGGTCCAAGGAGACTCATAATCCCAGCCTGCGAGTACCTTGGTTAAGAGAGCAATCGGCGTCTCGACCTTTTCGAAAGAGTCGATGTCACTATCCCACACTTCCTCCCTTGACCATATCGGCGTGCCACCTTCCACCAACTTGAGAGCTGCGGATGCATGGTGCATGCGAAAAGCGATATAAATAGGGAACTGAATATGGCCCCAATCTGCTTTGAGAAGCAGCCTCGAATCAGCCCCAAATGAGACCAGATGGTCAATCATTGACACATCATCACATGTTGCCAAATATTGGAAAACGCTGTTGTGAGCCTTGCCCCCCAAGCGGTTTGGATCCATCCCGAGATCCTTTATGAGACGCGTGGCAATTGACTTGTTTCCGGAAGCCACTGCCGTATCGAGTGCTGTGGTGAAAACATTTCTTCCCCAATAAATAGCACAACTGTCCTTCCGATAAGAATGATCCATAAGTATGTGACGAATTCTTGTCGAGCAATTACAATATAGCTCCTCAAGAATTTTCAGCTCGGGTGGCCATGACGCTGGCTGCGGAGGAACCATACAAAGCGGCGACGAACCAGCCGAAAGTAATAGGTGCGCGATGTCGGTCTGCCTATGGCAAATGGCGTAATGTAACGGGGTCCAGACCATGACACCTTTGTCGTAGTAAGTGCGATAAGATTCGTCGTAAGGAGTGATATCGTTCCAGGGGCTCTCGCACCCGCAGTAAAGTCTCGCCGGAGCCTCGATGTCGACGCCTTTGGAGATCAACCATTCAACGACATGCTGATGGCCATAGATGATGGCGAAGTGGAGGGGTGCTCCCCAGCGGGCGCGCGGAGATAATTGGTATGGAATACCCTTGGCCAACTTTTCATCTGCTGTGAGCGGCTTAACCTGATAGTAGTCAAGATTGGCGCCGTGTTCAGCTGCGAGCTTTAGAGCTCCGAGGTTCCCGTTGCTCGCTGCTTCGATGGTCGGGCCTGGATGGTGCTCCTTGACGGCGGCCTCATACAGCAGACGATTGAAGACGCGGTAGAACGTTTGATTGACATGAGCGAGGTTTGACAGGTCGTAAGTGTTGTCGAGGAAATTACCGATCATACTGAGAAGCTCTAGAGGTAGAAAGGCAAAAGTTGCCTCGGTGAGCCTTGCCGTATCCATGTCGATTGTTGAACCACAATGTAGCGAGCAAGAAGAGGGTAGGGGAGTCTTGCCTGAAGAAACGACGGCATGGAATTCTCGCACCGCTAGCATTTTATACTCGAATGGTGTGAAGGGGAGAAAACTTTGAAAGAAAATCAGCAACCGTGATGGCAACGGGTCCAGTGGATCTGCACTGGCTTTTGGAGATAACTCGCAAAACCAACCTCGGAGGCGAACTCAAACCCAAACTCAAGATTTTCGCGGTAGACTTGGACTTGACATTAAATGCAACAAACAGAGCATAATGACTAGGCCTGCGGCTCCATTTTAAGCCAGCACTTCCACATGCAAATTTGTTAAAGAGGCCGCATGAGTGAGCAAGTGTGATTCAGTTTGTGTGCCACATGTTGGGTGCCTGCAGACATCAGAAGGAGAGGCTTGGTCTCAAAGTCCTCTTCTAATCCACCTTATAATGTCAGCTTCAGAAATTATGACTAGCGAAGGAGATTTCGGCAGTGTTTCTCACATAAATCGTATTAAGCGTCAAATTAGAACCTTAACATTCAGATTACATCCAGTCCGACCGTTGTTAAATGTTCTTTGGTGGAGATTGTGATTGCAGATCTAGACATCTGGTTGCGAATTGCGAAAGGTCGCTGGAGGTATTTTGTGTTATTTTCCAACTTAGATGGACGTTATGAATGGGCTAGTCATCAAGGTGTCCCTCAGCCATACACCGGTAGCGGCCGGCATCAACTCAGATAAACAAGCCCGCCTAAGTTAAGACGGTAGATATACAATTCAAACGCCCAACCGGTCCAGAAGCCTCACATTCTTACTAACACTGCCATGAGCAAAGAAAACCAGCTTCAGACCCTTGTCTGAGAATCAAATACTGCTCGGTTTCTTGGGTGTCAAAATCACCCGTGAAATGAAGATTCCGAAAGATGGATAGGTTATCAGTTACTCGGCTACGCGACCCATGAGTGTTGCTTTACATCCCCTTCAACCCCTCTCTTCTCCTGAGGCACTGCTTCTCCAATACATTTGTCCTGCCTTGTGGCTCCAATATCCATCAGGAACTCTCCGATGCAACCCGGTCTGGTATTTGGATGGACGGTCGCTATGTACTGCCATGTGGCCCCTCGATCCCTGGGCGAATCGTCTGGCTTGCCTCTTGCATAGAAATTAAATTTGACGTCTTTGGGTAGGTAGGCTCCCATACCCACATAGACGTCGCACTTCTTCAAAACATCCCTTGTTAAAGCGGCCCCGTTCTCTCCAATCTTTTCATCGGGAAAACCCGAACCTCTAATGATCAACTTTTTGTCACCTGACCCTTCAATGTCGACAATCTCGCAAGAGTTCCAAACCCAGGCTTGTTGAATGCTGTCAATGGTTTTACCATCGAGAGCAACACCGGGGGAAGAGTAGATAGGATCCTGTTTGTCCATCGGCAGAGGCTCGCGCGTTCGACAGTCAGTGTAGACAAATATGATGGCACCATCCGGAACCTGTTTGCCGGACTCGCCGTTGATCAGCCACAACTCATCTATGCAAGCGTTCCCTTGATGTTCTGTTTCGTCTTTCCCCTTGTCGCACCAAGCTTTAAAATGAGGAGGCCCAGGGAAGGACATCGATCTCTCGACACACATTGACAATGTACCACTGAGGAGACTGTTTAGCGGCGATCAGTCAGATAGTGAAAAGTTCAAATGTCTTACCAGACCACCTTCCTCACGGGAACAAACGTAAAGTAGCCACACTGGCCTTTATCCAACTTGACGGTCCAGGTGCGACCGTATGCAGTGCTCCAACTCTCTGACCACCCGCCAGATATTCCAGCCTTGAATAGTTTGCCGACTTTCGGGGTGACGCTGACACTCCAACCAACGGATGTTGATTCACTTTCTTTCATGGAACACTCGACTGGTGCGTGACAATCAGAATGGGGGAATGGTCGTTCCTCGGCCCATTCGAAGTATGTGCCTACGCACATCAGAGTCAGCCACTTGCTATCCTCAGAATCTCAAAGGCATGTTGGATTGATACTAACGAATTTGACAAAAGCTGCCGCATTTTGTCTCAATATCCGACCATCTTTCGCATGTACCGTCTGATTGGATATGATATTTTGCCTTACAATCTGCTTCGAAGTACTGGTGGTACATCTTTAGAGCATGGTGATCTCGGCTCGAGCAGGGGTCTCCAGAACGTTTCTCAAGGAAAGCGGTCTTGTTGTCGAAAAACGCATAACGATCCTCAGGACGGATAGTCCACAGAGGGGGGTCTTTGGGGTCCCAATCAAAGTCCACAGGGCTTTGATAGAGACCAGAAATGTTTGTTGCACTAACTATGCTTATGAAGAACACGGCGAGGAAAATTCGTAGATCCATTCCAATACCAGAAAAGGGGACGGAAGGAGTGGCCGACTAAATCGGTGCTTCTCCAGCTGAATGTGGGTAGTTCGCAGAGTGTTACGTCAAGATATCAGAAGAATGGAAGGCAGGACGAAACTGCTTTAGTTGAAGAGTAGAGAAGATAGGCCACAACGACACGACCCAGAGTACACAATAACAATAGAAAATAGGGATGACTGGGAGAACAGGCCCAAGGAAATTGGAAATGTCCTTACTTGCGATTATGCCCGAAACTGTAACACTTGAAGATGGCAGCGACGAAATCTTTATCTTGTAATGAATGTACACTCGCTGTCTTCAGGATCTCAAATGTTGACCGGCTGTTTTCTTCCCAACGTAGTACAGACGTGCTAATGAAACTCGTGTACTACATAGTTTCTTTCAGTTCTCATCAGATGAACTGCATCACGAGGACTGCTTTTCAAAGGTATGCTACAATTGGGTCTCAGAATATGCAGTGACCTATCGATTAACGGTGTGGCGTAGGCTGTGTTGCTTGAGACGCAAGGGAGCTTGGTTACTAAACGCCCTTAGTAATCTTTGAAACACTTGACAATTGCAAGTGTAGCTTTGATAGCATATTGTTGTTTTGCGCATTTCTTCGAAAATATGAATAGTTTGATTTGATTGGAGTCTAGCCAGTGGCATTAGTGCTTGCACAGGCCTAGGGAGTGTATTTCTCTTGCAAAAGCATCACGATCCCATGTCCCGTATGCTCTGAGAAAAAGCACATGACAACTTCGAAGCCCCCACGCCACAATTACTATGCCCTCTGATTTCATTCTGACCCAAAGAACAACTATGAGCTGACCTGCCTCCCAGACGAGGGTAGTTTGCTCAAGATTGTTGCGTCACATGCGTAACTTGCGACTGCCATTTCTTTCACATTTACCTGCGCCTTCTGCGCTCATTAGCCAACACGAGGCCAAGCACTTATGTATCAAAGAGTGCCTTACGATAGATTCTACTGAATTCTCATATCTATTTGCCAGGATGCATTGGCGCTCTAAAGTGCTGTATTCCCTACACCAACAACATAAAGTGATCCTGATAAGAAAATGTTTGAAGTTGCGGAGTTGGATAAAGTTTCGAATTTTATGTCTGCAATTTGGATCTTAGAATCTCTATGGCGCACCCTGCTCTCAGGGTTGATTCAAGCTGGCCAGATGCTTAGCCGTCAAGTGCCAATCCCTTTCGATACGAATTGTCAATCATTGCTTTATCAGACTAATGGGCGGTAAAGCTTAAATCATGATCAGTCGGAGAGGTTCCCTCTGGGTGTCTCTATTTGATCGGATGTGTTTTCCCATATTGCCTCGCAGATTCGTACACCCGCGCTGTCGAATCGAGATGTCGTGCCCGAACCCACCATCGCTATCTGCTCTTCCCACGGAGTTATGCTACCTCATAGGAGACCAACCAGCAATCAAATCGGCTGATCTGGCATCTCTAGCTCGAGTCAACTGGCGATTTTACATCATTTTCACGCGATACTTACGTCTAGCCGCTCTACGAAACACGCCCAACTTCACCATTCAAGCAGCACGCTGCGGCGATTTAGCCGGCCTCCAGTTTGCATATGAACGCGGTGCCAAGCTTGATGTTATTCACAAACTTGATTTGAAAGGCTCGCACGCCAATATACATGGGTTACCTCAAAGGAAAATATGCTGGGGAACACCGCTGCACTTTGCTGTAGCGGGTGGCCACATGAACGTCGTCAATTGGCTTCTCTCGAAGAATGTCAGCATTGAGGCACCTGGTTGTCTACATTGCGAATGTTTCACCGAGGGTGATGACGTTTTCGATCGAGAAGAAAACAAACGTATCCTAGTCTGGACGCCATTACACTATGCCATTTGCCAGGGCCACACCAATGTTTCTCATCGGCTACTCAACTCTGGAGCGGATGTCCTCTGTAAGGTCGACCCGGCCCCAAAACGTCTGCACCCAGGTCTTCGCAAGATAAAGCGGCGACACAAAGATTTCTTTTGCGACTACACCGAAGCGCTTCCACGAAACGATTTTCGTCGCAAGCTGCTTCGCATCCGGGCACCACAGATTGAGAAGAAACGCTATTGTTTGAGGGGTACCAACCAAGACGTGCCCGCAATCCACACCGCTGCAGCAAGAGATAATCGAGCTATCATTCGTCGCCTGAGACATAAAATGGGCGTCGACATCAAAAACGAGGCAGGTAATTTCGGCGAGCATGCGCTGTATCGCTCTGCGCACTCTACCAGCGTTCGCGTGGTTCGTTTTCTCGTGGCATTAGGCAAGCATGATCGCATGCGTACGTCGGCGTATTCCCCTCTTGTTACAGCATTCCGATTCAGGCATCCTGCATTAGCTGTTGAGTTGATGAAGCACGGCTCTCCAGTCTGGGAGTGGTATTATGAAAGGATGTACTGGTCCCTTGATCTTATCAGAGTACCTGATGCATTGTTAACGCGACTTATTTATGACTGGAGAGGGCGTGATTATACCAGTGACAGAGTTGGACCGGAACAGGTCGGTCTCAAACGGATGGCTTTTCTGATGGCAGCAAGGAAAACAGTGGAAACTGTGCCACGACAAGTATCAGCGGAAGGCTGTTCAGAAATCCTCTTTGAAGGATTCTTCCAAATGTGTGAAGACGGTGATTTTGACTTGGAGTCTATCTTACAATACATCAAGATCACTGATCTTCAGATCAGTGCCTTAAGGGCGCTGCCTAGGCGCCTGACCTCCCTCTCCATAACCATCAATGCAGCCACAATGGCCTTGCAAGTAATTCTCAGATCATGCCGTTACATCTATTGGAAGTCCCATAGAACATGGAACAACTCGGCTCCCATTGTCTATTTCCTGTTGCAGAATGGGGCTTCGGTCTGCGATGGTAGGTGGAGCAGTCTGGAAATAGCTTTGAGAGAGCTTTTAAATCAAGTTCTAGATGATTATGGATTCAGAGAGGGGAACTGGGGCACTGATTTTCCACAGAGGTTAAATTCCAACAGTGGCGGGTTGATCGAGATTTTACGACTTCTAGGCTGCCATGGAGCGTACGATGATGAAACGGACTGGACGAGTCCAAACGGCTTACTCCACAAGTATGGATACATCGTTGGGTATAACAAGGAATACGGCAAGAACAAGGAAATAGATCCTAAGATGCGAGAGAAGATCAAAAACGGAACATGGTCGTCGCTGCCGCGGCGGGCCCGGAAGATTTTAGAACGATTCGGGCCCCGCGGCGACTAAGCTGGAAAATGAAACATTCAACACTGTCATCTCTCACCGTTTTGCCAGATCTATCGTTTTTGCTATGAAATTTGAGCACATACCGGCCCATCTCGCATACCTAAGATGTTGTGTTTCCTTACTGTGAATTGGACCTGGGCTATTCATATTAACTCATTCAATGGTACTGGCATCATCAACGGCGGCCCCACTTTGCCGGTTGTAGATCCCGTTCGTGTTCGCGTTCGCGACTGCCCCTGCGGACCTAGACACCTACTCTGCACCACACAGCAGCCTCGGATTGACTTCTAAACTGCATGCTGGCCAACTCGTCACAAATCCGATTCCACTTTGATCCGAGGCATGTATGTCTTTCTTAAGTGCCCCTTGGCTTAAGAATTCGCTCGCACGCCGTACTCCCGTCATTCAACGCGCTTGAAGCAACGCGTTTGCGGCGCAGCCCACCCGCGTTTGATCCCTTGAACGGAACAAAAGCAGTTGACTACGACACAAATCAATCACGGTCACTTGGACTTTTCTCTCAGTCAAAGGGAGAGGGTCAATTTTCACCTCACACTTGAACCATATCAACCTCGCGTTGTGAGTCACTCAGGGCCGACCGCGACCTAGATTTCACCCGTAGACTGACCAATGCCTCAGCACGACCCATCCGTTGTGATATCCACTACGCCCAACGATGGATAACCAGCCTGGATCTGTGTTCTGGTGGCAAAAGGCCGATGAGATTCCTCTAGAGACCTGGGAGCATATCGCCAGCTATGTCACTGACCCCAAAAGCCTGGCCGTGATGGCGCGTGTCAACCACAAACTCCGTTATGTGTGCGACCCCAAGCTGTACAACAGCGCAGTGGTTGAAGGGCGGATCCAAGACGCGGTTCTTCTCGCCGCTGCCGAGGGAAATCTTGCTACATTGCAGAAAGCAAAACGCTACGGTGCAGCCTTTAACAAAATCACTCCGCTTGCTGAACCTTTCGAGTGGGTGTTGAACCTGTGGGAAGAGATGATGGCACGAGACGGCCCCTTGAGCCACAAGCCCGATTTCACACCGCCCGATGCGGGCTGGGCCACTCCATTGCATGTCGCCGCGATGAATGGCCACTACCACGTCGTCGCGTGGCTTCTCGATGAGGATGTAGACATTGAAGCACCTGCAAGGTTCTGCTGCGAGTGCTTGCCTCTCGTCGTACAGGACCCTACGAACCCGACACGATATCTAGGGGATTATCCAGCTTGGACACCTCTCCATTACGCCATCTGCAAGGGCCATTCCTCAGTTGCCAGGCTGCTTCTTTCTGCTGGGGCCTCATATGGCAACTTATGCGTGCCGCAATCGTCTGGAAGATGGTATAAGCGCCCTTACAACAGAAACATAGGCGGACGCGCTATCGGACGGTTTTACTGTTATCCTCACCTACGAGACCAAGAAAATGACATCTCAGGACATGTTTCTGCAATCCACACGGCAGCTGCAACAGGAAACAAAGCTATCATGTCTCATCTTGTCGAGGGCCTCGGAGTGGATATCCACAGCAAGGACGAAGGGAACGCAGCACCAATACACTATGCTGTCTTGGCGCCAAATGCATCCATGGTCAGTCACGCCATCCAATTGGGAGCGGATGTACATTCTGGATATTGCCCTAGAACCGTGTCAAAACATAGTTCAGGGTGGGATCACCGGCGAATTATTCCGATGTGTAAGAAAACACCGCTCGAGCCCCTTCACTGGGCTTTGTTGTGGAAAAGGGGAAAAAGACAGAGGCTGTCAGAGAACTGGCCTTGAATGGCGCTTGTTGGCCCAAAGTGTCTAGCGATGGTGTGTCAACACATGCTCACATCACGCGTATATTGAAAATCATCGACAATTTTGCCCCCAGGCCCGTGGCACCCCAGGGTTCGTATTTGCGACTACTTGAACGAGCATCAGCTCGTTCAGAGCATCTGCAACTCCTCATGGACAGCGTGTCGAGCAATCTTCCTGAACTTCTCAACTGGACATGGAACGTTGGCCGGGCGTCTCGGGATCGTTTCCAGATGGTATCCGAGTTTCAGTTAGCTTTCTTCTATGCCTGCCAAATTCCGGACATTGATGAAGCAGTCTTGCGCCAATTCCGAGATTGTTTGGGCCTTGTAATGGGTCAGAAAGACTTTGACATGAGCGAGCACTACGTCTACTCTGATCTCGAAGCCGAACGGAAGTTATGGGTTCACCAAGATGCACATCCGGCCAAATTCAAATGCCCCATTGGCACACTAGCAATATGCCATACTGTTAGCCATATGCCGCGATACTTTGAAGAAGAGATGCTTCGGAGATTGCGCTGGCTCTTGGACGCCAGAGCAAAGCCGACAAGTCCCCGTCAGCCGCTTTCTCCTCTTGTTTGCCTCTTCAACAGAATCAGAGCCGAGGATCTGAAGTACGACTGGTACAACAAACCAAACGATACAGAATACCATGATTCATGGTGTGCATTCCTACCGATAGTTGAACTACTTGGAGATAACGGTGCATGGCAGCCATTTGATAACGACAGAATCGAGGGCATGTTGCTTATTCTAGCAGCTTACTTCGGTATGGTGCGCCAGCTGTCAAGAACATCGGCGAAAGCTGCAGCAGAATTCCATCGTCAAGTGTTGGAGATGATGCCTGCTGAAGTTCAGAAAATGGCGGAAGTGGCTCAGTTAACCACAGAGGAACCGGAGGGTCAAGCATCTCCTCCTACAGACTGATCGAAGAGCTGTCAATCAAATAGATGTAAGGTATGGCAAGGCATCTTAGAATGGCTACTATAGTATCGAGACTTATGTTTGTAGTTCTGCTGGGTTTGAAAGGCTTACATACCACTACTTTTCCGTTCATTCTCTCAACTCAGGTATATATTTTCAAGCCAGTACCACTGGGTTCAGCATGCTTTGATAGTTGCGTTCTCACTGTATGGGAGATCTCCAACCTCACCACCTAGGTGGTCTACTCAATTTTCCTATTTCCTATTACATGGTCATCATTTTTGTACGTTTCTCTTGTTGGTTATTCGCTCATCTCACATATTTGTATCAACACTTCGTGTCTTCCCAAGGAAATCACAAGCTTTGACGGAGGTGAGATACTGGGCAAATTTGGGCTTCGACGTCGATAGTCGATACAAGGAACATACAAAGTGTGCCCCACGGTGTAGAAAAGCTAAAGTCTCCTTCTAAGGATCATGCGTATGTCAGTGACACCATCTCAGTGTGCATTCGATGGAGAGTTCAGAGTTCAGTCTTTCTCCCCTTCTAAGTTTTCTTCTCCGCAGTTTGCCGCCTGGAGGCGCACCTCGTTGACTGCCGTTTGACACCCCACAACGACCGGCGGATATCGGCGGTTCCCGCGAACTCAGAAAACGCGGCATGAAAACGGCCTTGCGTCATTCTGCGTGCTTCGTCCCCAAAAGTAGCCGAATTATCCAAAAACATCGTTTCGTACGTAAATTCCCGACTCTCAAAGACGCCATGACCGAACCTGCGGATACTCTACGTATCCGAGCAGTCTTAGCCGAGAAGACATGGTTTGGATTCGACCTTGACGACACTCTGCATGAATTCCGACGCGCATCTGCGGCTGCAACCGCAAAGACGATTGAGGCAATATCTCAGCAGTATGGACAACCTGGGAATGCCTTGAAGGAAGAGTACTCAAACATTCTCCGCGACAAAACGTTAAACGCCTTCTCCGACGGCAAGACCTCATTTGAGTACAGACGAGAGCGTTTCACAACCTTGTTAGAGCGCTTCTCCCTCGCCAAAGACGTTGACTTTATCGATCGGCTCCTTGGCATATACGAAGATACTTTGACACAGTCATTGCAACTCAAAGACGGGGCTTTGAGTCTTTTGGCGACTTTGAAAGAGAAGGGCAAGAAGGTGACTGTCATCACTGAGGGGCCACAAGATGCACAAGAAAGGACGGTGAAACAGCTCGGCTTAGCGGGACATGTCGACTTCCTAGCTACCACCAACTTCTTCCGAGTTTCCAAGACTGAGGGTCTGTTCCCAAGAGTTTTGGAGCACCTAGGCATCCAACCTTCGGACATGGTTTACATCGGAGATAACCCAGTCCGAGATACCGTGCCAGCGAGGGAAGCGGGTATCTTTGCCATTCATTACAACGAGCAGGCAGAAACCTCACTGGAGGGGCCGTCGCCACAGGTGAAATCGTTGGCAGAGGTTGAGGCCCTTCTGTGATATAGCCTCATAGACCTTCTAGGATCTTGGAATATTCGAAGAATGAGGAATCTCGTGCACATTGACCATTTTCCTCCATTGAAACACATGGCAACTAGCTTTTGTGGCTTGTGTTGAGTTATAACGCCCCCTCAATGAAGCTGTCCAGAAACGCAAAATCGAGGTTCTCAAAGTTCCAGTCGACCTCGGCGGAGCTGTTTCTCAGCAATCGCGATTCATGTATGTCAACTCTGTCAAGGACGTCGGATGGGTCCTCAACAGCTACCGGCATGATCTGTACCACGTTTGGGTCACCCCAATCTTTTGGCCTGCGATCGCATCCGCATCCATTTCCTAGGTCTTTATGTTGGCAATCGCCCGTTTTCTCTCGGTCTGGACCAGATTTCAGTGGTATTGGTGTGTTGGGGGTTTCGTTTTGGATATGTATGGTCGGCAGATGAGGCAAATAGATCTCCAAAACGGTGTTGTTGTGCGTCAAAGCCGCATGGCTTCCGAAGTCTTCCCCACGCTTTCGCATGTTTGGTGAGAACACAACAGTGTACCTTCCTCCCGACATGGCATCTTCATCAATAGCCAGGAGAAACCGAAGTAAGGTAGTCACCCGCTTAGCAATTGCATCGTCGTTTATATCAACAACCCCCAGCATGATCGCTAGGGTTTGCTCCAAAAGCCCTCGATCACTCAGCCGTTGATGTGCTGTAAATGAGAAAGAGTCTTCGGCTACTGCGCAGCGACTACCACCGTTTAGATAGGCCAGGAAGAGGGTTGTGCAGGGTATGAAGGTGACCAGGTCTATGCCTCGGCAGTAGTAACGCGTTGTCTGAGACGCGCGAAAAGACACATATCTGGAGAGAATCTCGCGACTTGCTGTAATGGCGACCATTTTATTATGGTAGTTCTCTTTCTGGGTAGTTGAATCGAACATATGAGGCAGATGTAGTTGCAAGAGGATATGGTAGTACATGAAATGGTTGTTGAAGCGCAGAATTTCGCGAACCTTGTCCGACTGGCTAGTGCACGAGATCAAGTTCGGTGATACCCAGAACTGAGGCGGCATCGCGGCGGAAGCATCCTGCAATAACTTGTCTACTTCTTTAGTGATATTGGCATCATGTAGTTCGGAGGCGCTTCGTTGTAATAACAGACCGCATGCTACGCAGCACAGGCGTAGCATGCGTTCAAGAGGCGAGCACCTTTCGAGAGCCTGGGGAGTGGCGAAGGTATCCTGAACCGAGCTCTGCGGTAGACCAAGCATCAGAGCGATGTAACGGTCAAACTGGACGATTCGAAACCACATATCGTCGGGGTCGGCGGAGAATCCAGACAAGGACAAAGGCGCAATGCCACGATCGAGACCCAGCATTTGCGCGATCGTTACGGCTCTGCGGGCGGCTAGCCAAGACTGACGAAGATCGCCAGTATAATTCTTGAAGAGAGCTTCGAGAAGAATACACTCGATTCCTTCGAGGGAGCCAACCAACTCATCATTACTTGTGACCAGGTCGTGAGCTGTCGTCACAGCACGGAACATGATCACTTGGTAGGGGGTGCTGAGGCTGTCGAGTTGATGCGAAGAAGACTCCGGAATCCCTTGAAGGAAAGTTGCCAGTACCAAGAGTTTGCGTGCCACCAGTGTAGGATGACATCCCTCTGGCGGTAGTTGCAGTAAGACTTTCAGCGACGGAATTGCTGAGCCATTTGAGTCCGCTCTGGCGCATGTGACTGCGCGGATGACCTGAGATGTCTCTACTGGCATACCAAGAAGAACATCCATATCACTTTTGCAGGGCCAAGCTGCCAAAAGACGTTGCGATAAGGCACCGTGCAACACAGGGTGGCCATTCCCCGTGAGGTCTTCGCTCTGGGTTGTGGTTGTCTGATATGGAACTCTGTTGCATGGGTTTTCTTGAGAAATTAACTAAATTCCTGTCAACATGGCTATGTAGCATTGAGGTATATCCGGACAACCCACTTGTGAGACGGGCTGTGAAGGCGGTGTGGAGGTTTCGATACCAGAAGGTTCAACCAGTGATTCCTCACTGTCTGACCCGTTTCTGTTGCTCCATTGGTGTAATTCTGCTGCAAGGCTTTCCGGACTTGGACCTAGATGGCCATGTTGGCGAGCAGCAGCTTTGAGTAGCTGAGTCACTAGGGCTTCGACATGACCCAGCCTGTCCACGATATGCTTGTTGCTTCCAGGAGGAGGGGGCTGGTCGGTGACCTCCTGGCTGACACAGTCGACTCCACGGCGCTTGCAACTATCGCAAGTCTCCGGAGTATCGGCGGAGAAGGTGCATCGGGCCTTGCGCCGCTTGCAGTCCCAGCAGCTTTGAGTGCCTTTCCGCAATTTCCGGCGCTTCGGAGTTGGGCCGGTAGAGTCGGCCAATGAGGAGGGTCGCCGTGGGACAGTACTTTGCTCCATTGTCCAAGTAGTCGGTGAAACCGATGTAAGGACCGGAATCGATAGTATCGACGCAATGATCCGTGAAGATGAGAAGACATCCCTGAGTAGTCCTTTGTCTGCCTAATGCATGTCAGAATTAGTCATCAAGTCCTAGACCGGGGCCGTTCCGCCGGTATTTCGGCGGTGGAATTAAGCCCCGGGAATACCGCCCGCAGCGGGGCCACATTGGAGCTCCGGCGAAGCGGCCATCGGCATATTAGTCAACGGGATGGCGACCGTATCATCGGCGGAAGCAGTGATCTCTTGCATCCGGCAGCACCATAGAAGGGGTTCGCGAGCCTGTGTATAAGTACAAGCCAATTCGCTCCTTGTCTTCAACCGGAGGACAATCAACATCAGCCGAAGCCCAAAATCCCAGGTACCCATTTTCACAAACGAAACCAAAGCCAAAAAGTCAAAATGGTCAAGATTGCAATCGTTGGCGGCTCTAGCAGTATGTTGTCGAGCCGTCTCAGGCTGAATAGGCTGACACATGAATCCCAGACGTTGGATCAGAGGTCCATGATGCCTTGGTGGCCAGAGGAAAACATGAGATCATTCTCCTTTCAAGAAAGGTTAGTTCTTTGTCGTTCAAAAGTTTCGTATCGCTCATGTTTCTAGGATGCACCCGCCCAAAAGCTCGCCCCGGGAGTTCAATGGGTCAAGACAGACTATGAGGTCGCTCATCTGGCCAAGATTCTTGACGGTGTTGAGACGGTGCTTTCCTTCGTCTCTGGTCCAGCGGATCCGACGAACACCTCTCAGAGTGACACGCAGAAGAACTTGATTGATGCGTGCATCCAAGCTGGGGTCAAGCGCTTTGCTCCCAGCGAGTGGGCTACGTAAGTTTCCAGCCACTCTAGGTAGTTGGATGTTATCTCACAATATTCTCCAGGTCCAAGTTTGAGCATTTATTCTGGTACGCTTACAAGCAAGTCACTCGCGACTACCTCGTGGAGGTCAACAAGGAGAAGAAGGTCTGGTTCGTCCCAAATATCAGCTACAGTATCTTGGCTGACGTGATATCAGGTTCTTGAATACAGTCTTTTCCAACCGGGCTGGTTCACGAACTATCTGACCTGCCCATTCAGCTCCTCCAAGCATATCACTCAATTGGAGACCCCTGTCGACTTCAATCAATGTCGCGCACTGGTGGTCGACGGAGGTGAAGACGTTCCTTTGACCCTCATCACAGCTCAGGACCTTGCCAGAGTCGTCTCTCTGGCTGTGGAATATGAGGGAGAGTGGCCCGTTGTAGGTGGTATCAAGGGTGCCGAGATCACCATGGGGCAACTGATTGCACTCGGCGAAAGGATTCGTGGTAAGTTTTCGTCCTACCAGACTCGTTGGTTACTTCCATATTGATTCTGTTACCAGGCAAGCCATTTGCTGTCGAAAAGTTGAAGAAGGAGGACCTTGAGACTGGCAAAGTCACATCTTCGTGGACACTTGAATTGAAGCATCCGTCAATTCCTCCGGAAACTAGGAAGACCGTCGCTGCTAGTCTGGTTTCTGGCATTTTGCTCGGTTTTTCGGCTGGGTGCTTCAACACCTCCTCTGAGTGGAACCAACTTCTGCCCGACTTCAAGTTCACTCAACCTGAGGAGTTCCTGTCTCAGGCCTGGAAGTCAATCGATGCTGGAGAGGACGTCGTCTTTGATGAGTATTGAAATGTTTCAATCTCTGGTCACTGGGTGAGGCCTGATTTCTACACCTCGCCTCGCATTTTTCTCCAGTCTTGTCAGTACATATTCAGTCATAGTACTTTCGCATGTTTGTATGCTGTCTGGTCCTCGGACATTGCGTCTTTGTCCGCTCCGGTAGTCTTACAAATCTATCTGATCAAACTGTATTCATCAAGATCTTCGTCTGAGCTCAGAAAGTCCATCGTAGACAAGCTAAGAATCCAAATTTGGCAAGACTCGTCGATTAGAATCATTAGACTCATCCTATACCGACCGAGCCAATAATGACGGGCAACGGCTTACTAAAAGGTAAATTCCATAGGCGTGGGCAAACGTTATGTGGTTTACACCAAATGCGCGATCGGCTCCGCGTTCCAGCCCCTCAGCTGCCCGTGTGGCTTATTACAAATCCAGCACATCACATCATCGCTAGTACACCGTTTCGCCATGCAGGCATGCAGAGATCAGTTTTTATAAATAAGGGCACTGTTTGATGCTCAACCTCAATTTCATGCCAAGATCTCATACCGCAGACTCAAAACTCATCTATCGCAGCTTTCAAAATGGCACCAATTCGCGTCGGCATCATCGGCCTCTCCGCCAGCGCCAAAACCGCATGGGCTTCTCGCGCCCATCTCCCATACCTCCTCTCCCCTCTCGGCCGCTCCAAGTATCAAATCACAGCCCTCCTCAACTCTTCCGTTGACGCCGCCAACCGTGCAATCAAGGCGTACGATCTACCCGCCGAGACAAAAGCGTACGGCAACCCAGAGGACCTAGCTGCCGACCCAAACGTCGACCTCGTCGTCGTGTCGGTGCGAGTTGACTTGCACCACGACACGGCGCTTCCCAGCGTCAAGGCCGGCAAGGATGTCTACGTCGAATGGCCTCTTGCACAGGATGCGAAGCATGCCAAGGTACTCGCCGATGCTGCCAAGAATGCTGGTGGCAAGACGCTGGTTGGCATTCAAGGTCGAACGGTCCCTTTGTATCACAAGATCGGCAACCTCTTGCGGGATGGACGCATCGGCAAGGTCTTGAGCAGCGAGGTCAAGGCGGCAGGTGGCTTGATCGACCGCGCTGTCGTTCCAATTGACCTGAAATATTTCACCGACAAGAGCATTGGAGGAAACATCTTCACCATTGGCTTCGGTCACTGTAAGTCCCCCTTGAAACTGCCTACGGAGCATGATTGCTAACAATCATCACAGTATTTGACCAGATCCAACATGTTCTGGGAGATGCATCAAACTTCAAATCCCACCTTCAGATCCAGCGTCCTGACGTGAAGATCAAAGACGCCAAGACGGGAGAAATTATCGAGACGGTCAAGTCCAATGTACCCGATCTCGTCATCGCCGCCGGCACCCTTCCAGCATCAGGCATCGTCTCCGAAGGCGCGACACTGCATCTCAGATACCGCAAGGGTCAAGCTTTCAAGGGCGATGCGCCCCTTGTCTGGACCATCAATGGCGAAAAGGGGGAGATCAAATTGACTTCGAATGTGAGCACCGCGCTGCAGGCATTCGCGGACCCCAAAGATATCCGGATCGAGGTACACGACTTTGAAAAGGATGAGGTTGAGAAAATTACCTGGGGCTGGGGCGATTGGGAGTCCGAGTTGCCTTTCCCATCAAGGAGCATCGGCGCAGTCTATGAGGCGCATGCACAGGGTGAACAGAAGGATATCGCAACTTTTGAGGATGCGTTGAAGAGGCACCGGCAGCTTGAAGAAATCTTCCCGTTGACTAATTAGAGCCCTGGGTTTTCCTGCCATGACAGGGTTGAATTAGGATTAGTTATTCTTCCGTTCCCAAGCAAGCGGTCACGAAAAGTAACACCCGTGGCCCGCGTGCGTTGGCAAAATAGGCGGACAACATTGGCTTTGGCGAACTAAATCCTGGATGACACCGTTCGCTGTTCACAAAATTCGCGTGAAATTGCAATACATGATGTGAATTGAGTAATTTGTCTGGCCGAACCAGTTTCAGCATTGGGCTGACGCCTGTAGACGCCTCAGCGCATCTGACTCACTCGGCGGCGGCGCTAGCTGTGGTTAGACAGTCAGCATAAACACCATAAAAGCTGAACAATTTTCTGCTGGATTTTCTCTCGCTTCAGTAAAATAAAGACGTATGAACCGTTTCAAATTACCTTTCAAAGCCATCATGGATACTACACCAATCTACTTCTGGCGGGAAACCGGCCATGAAGGCTATCTTTCCCAATGGTGGATGGATCACCCCTTCACATTGGAATCCCTCGACTCTTCACCAATCACTTTCAAAACAGCAGAACATTACATGATGCACGGGAAAGCCATGCTATTCAATGATCCCAAAGTCGCCCTCACGATCCTCAAAGCGGATCATCCCAGAAAGGTCAAGGCATTGGGGCGCAAGGTTTCCGGATTCGACGAGGCTATTTGGAACGAGAACCGCGAGCGGATCGTTCGGGAGGGAAGTCTGCTCAAGTTTCGAAGTAGCCCCGAGCTCAAGGAGAAGTTGCTGGCGACGGGGGAGCGTGAGCTGGTGGAGGCGAGTCCGATGGATCGCATCTGGGGTATCGGGTACAGCCCTGAGAAGGCACCAGCGTCAGATCGGAGTCGGTGGGGGCTGAATTTGCTCGGGAAGGTGTTAATGGAGGTTAGGGCGCAGTTGAGAGAGGAGGAGGAAGGTGATCCAGAATGGACGAAAGTGTAATTGAGACTCGAAAGGATCGCGGCAACAGAAAATCCGATATGCGCATTCTACAAACCTAGTGAAGGTATCAAGATTCGTGCATGCGTTTTCGTTAGAGTCTGCCATCCGGGCGAATGACTATGAAATTAGGATTGATAGTCTATTGGAAAGTACTCATTTCACTATCCCTACTATTCCTGTCGTCCCAGTATTCCTTATCTTTATGTCTCTCCCTATCCGTATTGCCTTCGTTATCGTCGTCGTTGTCGTCCCTATTGTCGTGTATGCTTACTACGGTACTACCGCCCGGATAGCAAAACTCATTCGTTAAAGCGATGAACATGAGCTGTAAATCGAGACTGATAGGCTCCTTATTACGGGCTCTCGTCTCTGGCTCATACTACTATCTCGCGTTCGGCTCCTTTCTAAGCTCTATGTATCTTGTTATTTAGAACTACTCCGTAGGACTAAGAATAGAAACTAGTACTTAGGAATAGTATTAAATGAATAGCGAAATAGTCTAGGAGTTTAAGAAAACTTAGTAGTTTCTCTTCTCTAGATCTTCTAAAGCAACAGTATTATCCTTGCCACTCATGGGTCCCCTCCCATGCGATGTGACAACTGAAGGAGCAGACCACGGCCGCCGAAGGATAAAGCAGGGGAGGTGACAGGTAGGTAGACAGTGCCGGCCCAAGTTCACCAACAGTCAAGGTCCAAGGATGGCAGAAATATGTGGCTGAGGACATTCAGTCTTCGTAATATTACATGTCAAATATGTCAACTCGGCCTCCCTCACAGAACAGGCCTTTTTTTCCCTTCATCTTCTACACGTACACGTAAAAAGCCTCCAAGAGCGGCGTTGGTTTTTTGTTTCTCTCTCTCGTTCTGGCGCCACGCAAGTCGCCCAAAAGTTCGCCAGTCCCATATGCCCCTCCCGTTCTAATTTTTTGTACAGGTAGTAAAAACACTTTTTCGGTGGCTTTGTATAAAAAGGGGGTTTGTCGAGGGTGTGTGCATGGGAGGAGGAGGGGAGGGGGGTCTTCATTCATTCATTCATCCAACCGGAATCCTCTCTCTCGCCCGTGCCCCGCGTGCGTGAAAACATACCATCTTATTGATGTAAGATGTAAAAAGTAGGAGGGAAGTAATTTTGGTTTTTCTTTGTTTGGATGTTCCTTTAGTAGTAGTCCTTTCCGCTCTTCTGCATCTCAATGAGACGCCATCCTCTCGTCTCGGGGTTGCTGACGTCGTCGGGCACACGGGTGATGCCGATGGCGTACGTGACGAGCTGGACCTTGTCCTCCATACCAGCCGCGAGCTCACCGCTCTTGGCGTTGCGGTAGACGTGCACTTCCTGCGTCCTGCAGGTGATGACGAAGACGGGGATCTCACCGGGGTCGAGCATGCGCGCGCGCACAATGTCGACGTGGCGGATGTCGAGGATCTTCCCGTCGGACTTGAGGCCGGCCTGCAGGTACTGCTTGGTCAGGGCCTCGTAGACGGAGTACTGCGCCTCGGAGAGCCACAGCTTGAGGGTCGGGACGTCGCCCTTGACGTAGGCGTCGAGGACCTCCGGGAGGATGTACTCGCGGAGCTCCTTGAGGAAGGGCTCCGTCTGGAAGTTGGGGTCCATGGAGCGGAACTTCTTGATGACCTGCGCCGTCTCGTTCTCGGCGAAGAAGCCGCCAATCTTGTCCGTGACCAGGCGCGCCGTCTCGATGAGGGGGTTGTCGGACTCGCGGTAGACCTTGCCGGCGTTGAAGAAGCCCTGGGCGAACTTGTTGCCGTCCTTGAACTCGTTCCAGGCTTCCTTCCAGGCGGCGTCCTTGTGCAGGGTGACGTTGGTGCCGGCGCTTGTAGCTGTCAGTAAAGTTTCGGGCAAAGCCGAGACGGGCAACTTACTTGGGGTCCTCCTCCATGATTACGGGCTTGCCGTGCTTGGCCTGCTCGGCTTCGCGCTTCTTCCTGCGCTCCTCCTTCTCGACCCAGCCACCGTAGCGCGAACTGCTGCCATCGTCGATAACATCCTTGACGTTCTTGTACGCCTCGGTCTCACGGAGGGGCTTCGTCGCCTTGTCGAGAGCGTCTCCCGTAACGTTGGCGACCTTGCGGACGCCCTTCATGGCGGTGGTGTCCCACGTCCATGCGGCGCCCTTTCCAATCGCACCAGCCGTAGTCTTGACAGCGCTGCTAGCGGCCGAAGACAGAGCTCCGGTGGACTTCTCGTAGGCCTCGCGGGCTTTCCTCACGCGCTCGCTCTCGGTAAAGTCCTGGATCTCACCAGACAGCGCCTTCGTCGACTCGTTCCACTCCTTGGACTTGCTGAACTCGGCCTGCATAGTCTCCGTGAAAACCTGCCATGGCGTCTTGTCACCGTGGGGTGGCGGGGGCGGGGCATCCTCCTTCTTCTGCTTCTTGTCGCCCTGCTCACCCTCCTTGCCCTCTTCTTGCCCCTCGGTCTTCTCGCCCTCCTCTTGCTTCTTCTCGGTCGACTCCTCCTTGGCCTCGGACTCGGCGTCCTTGGGCTTGGTCTCCTCGGCCCTTGCGCTTTCCTCGGGCGTCTTGGGCTTCTCGGTCTGCTGTTTCTGGAGCTGTCCGGCCGTCAAGTGGAAAGAGCGGGATTGCATCGAACTCGAGATGGATCGCACATCTTCGGGGAGGAACTGTGATCGCAGGGGTGTGGGTCGGAGGGCGGATTGTTGTCGTGAAAAGACCAGCGCAGCGTTGCCGCTGAGGTCTGTCGAGAGTAACCGGCGATACGAGGGCGTCCTGCCGTGGTTCTGTGCCGCCCGCGCTGAAGCTCTAATAAGAGAAGCACTCTGAGGATTTCTCCTCGCCGACTGCACGAGGGAGTTCATATTGAAAAAATTCCAAGCTTACCGCCTCCCGACGATAAGCAAAGGCGGAAGAAAAAAGGGAGGGAGGGACGGGGCGGCGAAAAGGTGTAGATGACGATTTGCGGCAGCGGGCGGAGGAGGGACGGGCTGGCAGCAGAGAAATTTTGGCTCGCGGGCAACGAGGGACTGGTCGGGGCCCAGAATTGGGATGGAAGCTCTGCGATTTCGGTTGAAGGCGGAGCGCGGAAAAAATCTGGGCCCCTGTTCAACCGAAGACAACCCGGCGGGCACACGGCCAATCAGAACCGGCGAATGCCTCCAGACTTTGCGAATTCGAGCTGTCAATTTTGCCCGTCCAAAAACTTCACGGGCCGTCGTCAGTGTCGTCAAACTACCCCCCGCCGCCGCCATCCCGCCGAAAGGAAGGCGAACACGCACAGCGATGAGTTCCGCACCATCGACCCGCCTCCTGGCGAGGTCGCTCTTCCAGAATGCCGCCGCCGCCCGCCCCGCGACCGCGACCCGAATGTCGCCCTTCTTCCGATCCTTCTCCCAGACCACGGCGCCCCGCGCCGACGAACCTTCCGATGCGAAGAAGGGAGGCCAGGACCTCCTCAATGCCATGTATGGTAGCTCGAGGGCCGCACCGGCCGCCTTCCAGACCCCAGCAGAGCAACCAAAGACTGCCTCGACTCCCGGTAACCTGTCCCAGAGCCTGCTCTTCGACACCCTCAACCGCGCTTCGAACGGCAAGTCTGGTTTGGGCGCTCTCGACAACTTGATGGAGGAGCAGGAGGACCGCCTCGAACCGTTCCACATGCACATTCTCTCGCACAAGCACAACACACACGTCACCGTCACGAAGCCCGACCGCGGCGCCATCATCTCCATGTCGACAGGCAACATCGGCTTCAAGAAGTCCAAGAGGAAATCCTACGATGCGGCATACCAATTGACGAAGTACGTTCTGGAGAGACTGAGCTACATGGGATGGCACAAGAAGATCAACAAGCTCGAGGTTGTGTTGAGAGGGTTCGGCCAGGGAAGAGAGGCGGCTGTGAAAGTTCTTATGGCCCCCGAGGGCAAGATCTGGCGCCAGAAGGTTGTTCGTGTTGCAGATTCGACCAGGTTGAAGTTTGGTGGAACAAGGAGTCAGAAGCCCAGGCGTGTCTAGAGGAGAAGCAGCGGAGGAAGAGGCGAAGAGACGCCAATTACATGCATGTACAATACGTGTACGACTGTATCATATATCACAACGAGCAACTTTCCTTGCATTCTGTGGTTCAAGATGCAAATGTCTCCAACTCCTATGGTATCAAGTGCTATACGCCGCTCAAACAAAACGCCCGCCTACAACGCCGAACCATGATCCCGTCTTTCCCTCATACAACATGACCTTTAGCCGTTCTACTTTTTCTGGTCTGGCGCTCTTTCTGCAGCAGGCAAATTGCGACCACCTGTGTCGCGGACAGCCTTCTTGCCCTTCCCGTTGCCGCCCCGCCGGCGCTCCTCTTCGCTGTCCCAGTCGGCATCTCCGGAATTCTTGGAATTCTCAGTCAGGAATCTCGGAGGCGACTGCTTGAGCATCCTAGAGCCCTCGTGGGCATGGTCATCCTCCTCCTCCAAGAGCGCGCCGTCGGCGGTATCGTATTCGGGTGGGTCGATCCAGTCCCGGGGGACGACGCAGGGCAATGCGACTCCGATGCTTGCAGCTCGGTTCAGCCAGCCGGGACCGGGTCGACCGGTCAGCTTCTTACACAGATACGACGTGAAGTGGTTGCAATTCTTGGTCAAGAGGTTGTATGAGGTTCCGAGGAAGTCCTTTGACGCCTCTTCGAGAATCGCGTCGATTTCGGCCTGGGTCGCAAAGGTGAAACCGTGGAGAATCTCCGACTTGAAGGTGCCGCCGGGGGGCTCGGTCTTGGGCTTCGTCCAGTACACTCCGGTGATTCCGCGCCTTTCGTGGCCGCCGTATGCGTATTCTTTGCCATTGATCACGACGCCCGAATGCAGCAGCGAGGCGCCGACTGTCCAGAGAACCGAAGAGAGTCTTCCTGGCTGCAGGACACTGTTAGCGATGCCGACACACGGTGATCGGCAGGTGGTGGGTCCAGCAACTTACAGGAAGCAGATCGTAAACGTGGATTGTGACTTCCGTCTTTTGAAGCGACAAGGTTGAGCGGTGATTGCTCGAGCGAGGAGGCATCTTCGGCTGGCGACCTTGAAGGCGGCGTTGTAGGCGGTTGAAAGTTGGTGTATTACGTCGTACTACAGCAGCGCGAGTCGTAGGAGGAGGGGCGACGGCAGAGCAGGACAAAACGGAGGCGGACGGCAGAGCAGACCACAGATTGGGTTAAATATACACGTCGAAGCTCCGGGATAAAGATTGAAGCCGTTTCACAAGTGAAAGAAGCAGTTCCGGCGAGTTGAAAGGTGCAGGCTGAGGGAATTGGCGAAGGGGGAAACAAGCAGCGCACACAATGCAGTCGTCGACGAAAGGCCGCAAGGCATGTCGCAGCTGGTAACCTTGGGCCTGGCTCGGGCGGTGCTCGGCGCAGATGCGGGCGTCAGCGAGGTAAGTTGGGTGGTGTAACTGAACCGGCGCTGGCTGACTGGCAATGCTAACTTGGAAGCCTAGGCGACCTGACTTTGCCCGGGAGCAGCAGTCATCAGTAAATCACTCCTGCACTATCCGTACCTAGGCACCCGGACGGCACCGAGGAAGCCCACCTTACGAACTGAAAGTCTGAAGTGCATGCAGGCAAGCAGGCATTCTGCGCGGTGACAGCAAGCGAGGTACTTGAAGACGAGCTGTTTTAGCGCAGTAAATGCGTGGCATTGCACGGCCCGGACAAGTCACTCTGCGCCGCAAGCGGGCTAAGAGCAATGCGACCCAATGAGACGTCGAGGAATGAGGTCAGCGGCCAGACAGCATCCCTGCCCAAAACCAGCCCCGCGTCTTCCTTCAGCAGCAGCAGCACAGCTCTGGAACACCGACCTGAAGCTTCCTTTTTGGGGCAGGATGGAGGAGCTGCACGCGACCTGGATTATTACCTCAGCATTCCTTGCACCACAACCCCAGCTTGTGCCTTACCTAAGCGCATGCTAAGGTATCCGTACCCGGCATGACGGACCTATACCCCACTTCCAGGTTCTATTCGAATATTTTGACCCGGGCTTTCGTTCCGCCGCCGCGCCGAACCCTCCCGCCTTCCAATTCCATCCAGCTTTCGTCAGGTTTTTGCTCTCAACCCCCTCCGCCCCGTTTTTGGTGGGGCACATTAAAATTCATCTAACCAGGCCACAGCCGCCCGCGCGACGACTATTTTTTCTCTCAGCATCAACAGCTTCACGCTTTCTCCCTCCTTCTTCCTCTCTTCTCTCTACCGCCTATTCTCCCACTACCCCCGCGGGCAATCCGTACGCGATTGAGGCTGGTCGCGGCCGATAGTCGCCAAAACGACGTCCTTCATCGTCCTCCCCTCTTCTTTCGCTTCTCCCTCCACCTCTTTGCTCCCCCGCGCAGCTAGTTCTGCCTTTCGCAGTCGCAATCTTCTAGCGACTGCCGCGCTCACGTGCACCGTACTATACACACCCACTCGTCAGTACGCCAAGAGCCGCCGGATCAAAATGCCTCCCAAGAAGCAGGTCGTGGAAGAGAAGATTCTCCTGGGCAGGCCCGGTAACAACCTGAAGAGTGGAATTGTGGGTGCTACGCCTTAGAACCTGTGCGGGATCAGGCTGACCCCTCTCTTCAGGTTGGCCTTGCAAACGTCGGAAAGTCCACCCTCTTCCAGGCCATTACCAAGTGCAACCTTGGCAACCCCGCCAACTTCCCCTATGCCACCATCGATCCTGAGGAGGCTCGCGTCATCGTCCCTGACGACCGCTATGACTGGCTTTGCGAAAAGTACAACCCCAAGTCTCGCGTCCCCGCCAACTTGACCGTCTACGATATTGCCGGTCTGACCCGCGGTGCCTCCACCGGTGCTGGTCTGGGTAACTCCTTCTTGTCCCACATCCGCGCCGTCGACGCCATCTTCCAGGTCGTTCGTTGCTTCGACGATGCCGAGATTATCCACGTTGAGGGTGACGTCAACCCCACCCGTGACCTCGACATCATCAGCGATGAGCTGCGTTTGAAGGATATCGAGTTCGCTGAGAAGGCTCTCGAGAACCAGAAGAAGAAGACCCGCTCTGGTGGCAAGGGCCTCGAGCACAAGAAGGCCATGGAGGAGCAGGCCACCATGGAGAAGATTATCGAGCACCTGAAGGCCGGTAACGAGGTCCGCAAGGGCACCTGGGGCCCCAAGGAGGTAAGCCGCATTTTTCACTCTTCCACTCGACCCCCTGCCTTAAATGATGATCAAGGGCCCAAGGCCCGACTATTTAAACCCAGCTCTTCGAATGCCACAGGCATACTGAGACAAAAAACCGTTCTGATTTTGCACCTTGTCACTACTTTAATGTTTCGCACTCTTGCCGCAAAACCAGTTCTGACAATATCTCTAGGTGGAGGTCATCAACCCTCTGTTCCTCCTTACTGCCAAGCCGGTCGTGTACCTGGTCAACCTGTCTGAGAAGGACTTCATTCGCAAGAAGAACAAGCACCTTCCCAAGATTGTTGAGTGGGTCAAGGAGCACGCCAACGGCGACCCCATCATCCCCATCTCCGTCTCTTTCGAGGAGCGCTTGACCCGCTACGAGACCGAGGCTGAGTCTCTCGCGGAGCAGAAGGCTGTCGGTGCCGAGTCTTCTCTGCCCAAGATCATTCTGCAGATGCGCAAGGCCCTGAACCTTGGCAGCTTCTTCACCACTGGTACCGATGAGGTTCGCCAGTGGACCATCCGTAACGGCACCAAGGCGCCGCAAGCCGCCGGTGTCATCCACACGGATTTCGAGAAGACGTTCATCCAGGCCCTCGTCTACAACTTCAGCACCCTTAAGGAGCTCGGCAGTGAAGCCGAGGTCAAGGCCAAGGGCAAGGTTATGACGAAGGGCAAGGACTATGTTGTGGAGGACGGTGATATTCTGCTTATCAAGGCTGGTGCTGCCAAGGGTTAGAGAATGAATATCTGATGGAAATTTAGATATGAGGATTGGTCAAAAGCTCTGCCTTTCGGTTTAGATATCACCGGCTAATAGAGAATTGCCGCCACACACTCATTGCTCCAACGTGAATGCATGATGTCCTGTGAAATGTGCTGAGATGAAAATCCAAGCTCTGGTGAGCACCCTCCTCGGGGCAAATTAGCCGGGGATTTCCCGCCACTCTCGCACCTCCCACCTCAGCACGGACCCTGTGACATCTCTCGTTGTACCTCTTGCTGGTAACCTTCAAGCACTTGGACATGAATCTGCATCAAGACACCATCGAGGCGTCGAGGTAGACAACATGAGCCAACCTCCGATAAATCGTGGCCATGGCCGCAACATATCAGTAACGAGACGTGAGTTTGTCTAAGTCGTTTACTTGCGCCGCGGCCACCATAGATTTTTTCCACATCATTTCCACCTTTCCAATCTCACGGGTGTCCATTCATACACATGAAGTCTTCATCACCGTTTTGATGGGTTCATTTTGCTAACACTCACAGCGGTTCGCCCAAGATCCTCGACTAAGGGTCCCCTAGATCTGGACGAGTGAGAAATCCTATCCAGCACTCTATGGCTGTACTGACACCTCTCAGTACCCCTCTCAACGATCCCTTGTCGCCAAAGGCTGGCGCATCAGAAGAACCGACTCAACGCCCAGTATCAGGCGTCAAATCCCCAGCACCTATTCATTCTCCCGTACCTCCCGTCAAGACCACCGTCACCAAGGACTTCGGCTTCCTCCTCCGCCCCGAGATCTACCACAGCATCAACCCCATCAACATCCCCGTTGCCTTCAAGACCTCCCCAAAGCAGCCCACCCCCGATGCCTCGCTCGACGACCTCCTGGCCATGGGCCACTTCCGCGCCGCCGCCATCGCCGCCGTCCAGGAACTCACCGGAACCGGCGGCCCGGCGCGCCCCCGCGTCGACCCCTCAGACCACCAGCGCATCTTCACCCTGCTCTACACCCGCCTCGCCTGCCTGACGCTCATCGACGCCACCTCCGTCGCGGCGCAGGAGGTCCGCGCCCTCGAGGACCTCAACGCCGGCGTCTACATCGACGAGACCACCGGCGAGCACCTCGTGCCGTGGGAGCTGCGCGTGCTCAACATCCGCCTGCAGGCCCTCGGGTTCGGCGACCCCCGGCGCTCCGTCATGGCCTACCACGACCTCGCGCGCGAGGCCCGCGAGCAGATCTCCAAGGCGGCCGCGCGGCACGACAACTCGGCCCGCGAGCTCTGGAAGGCCCGCCTCCACGATCTTGGGATCAGCGTCGCCGGCGCGCTCATCGAGATGGACGACCTCGCCGGGGCGGCGCACCACCTCGCCGCGCTGAGGGACCGCGGCGACGGCAAGATGGCGCTCTCGCGCGCGCTCATGTGGCTGCACCTCGGCGACGTGGACGCGGCGCGCCGGAGCGTGCAGGACGCGGGCGGCGGCGACGACGACGGCAGGCACGCGGAGCAGGTCGTCGCGGCGCTGTGCCAGATGGCCGACGGCGAGTACGAGGCGGCGCTGCAGTCGTGGCGGGGGTTGAAGGAGCAAGTCATGGACGAGATGATTGGCGTCAACATGGCGGTGTGCCTGCTCTACACGGGCAAACTGACAGAGGTCCGTCAGCAAGCTCCATTTTCATATTTATTGCTGCTTTCCCCTTCCTACGTTATCGTGCATACTGACAAAGTGCTGACTGGAAAATCATTCTGCAGGCTCGCGCATCCCTCGAAGACATGGTCGGAGACGGCTACTCGTCGCACACCCTCCTCTTCAACCTGAGCACGACATACGAGCTCTGCACGGAGCGGAACCGGAACCTCAAGCTGAGACTCGTGGAAAAGGTCGCCGATCAGGACGAGACGGTCAAGGGCTGGGAGAAAAGCAACGCCGACTTCAAGCTGTAGAACATTGATTTTGCCCAACGTAAACCACACGCTTTATCACACAATTGGATGAGATCACTGCTTTCCGGTGCTTCCCCTCCCCCTCCCTCCCTCCGGCTTCCCCTCCACCCCTCGTGAAGTACCTCCCCGTCCGTACCTCAACAACCCCCGACTCCGTGAACAAGGGGGGTTGGGCTGGGTTCTTTTACCTTTGGCTTTCCGTGTGGCCCGGAGGAGGGGGACGTCCCCGGCGCGCCCAATCAGCGCGGCGTTGGCCGCCGCCCTGAATAGAATTGGCCCAATGGCGGGGTCCCGCAGGCCCAGCGCGCAATCAGACGGTGCCGGTGCGCGGTGCCTTGCACCTATTATTTACTGCTTACCAAGATGCTTAGTTACAGGACGTGCATGCGGTGGCAGAATGACAAACCCGGCGGTCAGTCACTGCACAACCAGTCAGTCAACCCAACCACACAACAGATGACTTTTTTTTCTGGTCTCCTCTTCCCTGGCTAGGGCCAAGACAATTCTCGGGCTGAATTTTCGGGAATGAGGGGGTTTGGTCTTGATTTTTATTCTCGGTGTTGTTATTTTTGGGACACGGCGATGAAAGTGAAATACCTTTTGGGCCCCGCCGCTCCCGGGCGCTGCTCGGCGTTCTCAGCTGTTCGCCCTGTTATCTCAACATCATGCCCTTCTTGTTTTCACGTTGTTTCTCATTGATCGGCTGAACTTTTTCCTTTCCATCGCCGTTCTAGTTACAAGTCGCCGACGTTCGCAATGTCAACCTAATTCAAACCAAGATTGATAAAAAGACCTGGGCCAACAGCTGTCTCCGAACAGCCACATCTTGCGAGAGCGATGTATGAAACGTCGCATTACCACGAGCTCTCGGCTCATCTCTCAGACATGTCGACGCGGGACCTGCAGCTCCGCACGATCGAGCTGCTGGAGAAGATTGCGCGCTCGCAGAGGGTTCTCGAGAGGCGCGTCGACGCCGTGGAGAAGATGGTGCTCGCGCACCCGCCACCAATATCATCATCGGAAGAAGAAGAGACGAGTAGCAATTTCCCGCAGTTCAGACGGCTCCCGCCGGAGATCAGGCACCGCATCTGGGAGCTCGCGATACCCGTCAGGGCGCTGCGGCTGAGGCGGGGCTGGGGCGGGTTCATTCCGACCCTGCGGCCTCCCGCCGTCGCGGAGGCGTGCCGCGAGGGGAGGGCTGTCGCGACGGCGCACGGGGGCGGTATGGTCTCGGTCACCGCGTGCGGGAAGGGCGAGGCGGAGAGGCGGTGCTGGAGCTGGTTCGACGGGCGGCGGGATGCGCTTGAGCTGGAGAGATGGGTTAGTCTGGAGCGGGACGAGCCGAAGGGCGTGAGGGAGCTTGTGGCCAGGGCGAGGCATGTGCTTGCGCCGAGGGCGGACGCGACGTGGTTTAAGAGGTTGTTTGAGGAGGCGGTGGGGTTGAGGAGGGTTGGCCTCAAGTTCGACACGACTGTGGCGAGCCGGTGCGCGTGGGATGCGAATGTGGTGAGGGGGGTGTTTGGGAGCGTTGATACCGTTGCGATTCTGGATTTGGAGGATGCTGGGGATATTGGGAGGTTCAAGGGGGCGTTGGGGGAGCATTGGCGGTGTCCTTTCTTTTGCGAGTTTGATATTGAGGGGTGGGCGAGGGAGAAGAAGACGGCGACGGCAGTGGAAGAGAGGGGAGAGAAGTGGATGAGGGGGTTAGAAGGGAGCTGGATGAGTGAAGTTGCGAGGGGGTGGGTTATGGCGAAGACAAAGACGGGACCAAAAGATGGTATCGATGTCGAAGACGAAGAGGTGAGAAGGGCATTGAGCTGCATGCCTGACGTCAGGCTTGTGAGGGCATACTTGCTGGCTGATGTACACGGCTCAAGATGAATAACAATTTTTCGATATTTTAATGCTCCGAGTTCTGGTGAGAAAAAATCCTTCATCATTTAACTTTGCTGTCATAACTGATAAGGATGCCACTCGCTGGTGCTGTTAGTTGTGGCGCTATCGTCTGAAATGTTTCCAAGTCCTGAAAACGTCCGAACACCATGGTATGTTTGACAGGCAAGTTCGAAGCTGAGTTCTTGGCAGGACTTAAGCTTTCGAAGGCTCAGGAACCGATAGATTAAAGCAGCCAGGCAGCCAAATTCTTCTTTCAATCTCGTATACGGGGCCATGGGTAGGTCCTGATCCTTCGCGCAGTCCTACGGCCAGGGTGTCGCGGAGCGACTCCGCCACCAAAAGATTGGGATGGCGATTCGAGTCCTAGACATCTGGTCGAAGAACATGCAATTTGGTCCAAAAGAAGTCGCTTTCCACTTTCCAATCTTTTATTCGAATAGAACAACTGTGTTGGCATTTGGGTTAACCAAAGCGCACTATTACATCAAATTCTGGAGCAGGTATGGAACGCAGATCAGCTTCGGAGACCAACTCCGTCAAGACAAGCATTCCCAACAAAGCTCCATCTATGAGCTCATGGTAAGTGATTTCCTACAGTTGGCTAATAAAAAAAGTAACGCATCTCACAATTGATAGCACTTCCAACTCAAGAGACCTCCAGAACCAGAAACCCACTCCTCCACCGACACCACGACCCGAAATCGCTCCCAACGGCGAAGTCATCCTTCTCGTCGGCCCAGACTCCCACCCCATCCGCGTCCACGCCCTCATCCTCGCCGACGCCTCTCCCGTCTTCAAGTGCCTCTTGAAACCCACGTCGTCAACCTACACCGAGCCCGCCGCCGTGCTCTTCGCGACCCCTGACTCCCCAGCGCACGTGACCCTCCCAGAAGACGACCCTCAGGCGATAGAGACCATATGCCGCGTGCTGCATAGCCGGATTGACGATGTCGTATGCGATCTGGCTGACGATGAGGTGTTGATGGTGGCTATGGCAGCCGATAAGTACGACTGTACCGCGGCGATGGGTCTGGCGGTGCGGCACTGGCTGAGGGCGGATAAGTTGGAGGCAATCAAGAACGCGGCGAGGGATGGATGTATCGGGTTCAGGAGGGGGGATATGCTTTTGGCTGCGTATTGGTTCAAATGTGAGCCGGTGTTTGAGGAGCTCACGAGGTTGTTGGTGACGAGTACGGTGGGAGGGTTCGAGGGGCTGGTTGATGGGCGGGATGGCCCTGAGGAGGTTCTTGCTTGGAGGCTTGCGTGTGAGTTTTCTGTTGTCTTATCTCCTTCTTTGACTGTCAACAACTTTGAGATGGGGCCCAATCGCAATCGACTGACACCTCATGTCAAAACCCAGACGCCCTCGAAGAACACAGGAACAACCTCCGCCTCTCCCTTTGGACCGCCATCAATGAACGCATATACGAGCCTGTATCCCTGCCCTGGAACATCCGTCCCCGCCTTCAATACAAACGCAACTGGTTCGGCTCACGAGTCTATGTCCCGCCGCTGCCAGGAACCCCCGACCTGCAGTTCATCTGCCAGCGGCTACAGGCGTTGGACCGCAAGACCTTCGCGACCGGGTTCAAGTACATGTCTATCAACGATGCGCTGTGCATGGCGGTGGGGATCTTGCCGTCGGCGTTTGAGTCGATCAGCGGGCTACGCAAGATGTACAATCCAGATGCCACGGGTGGTTGTCATGGCGACTCGCCGTGGTATAAGCAGGATATGCGGACGAAGTTGAATAATTGGAAGAAGGCGTCGTTGACAGGATTATGTCTGGGTTGTGTACATGAGCAGATGCGGTGTGGGAAGGAGCAACATGGAGAAGCAGGTGAGAGAGAGGAGGCAGAGGGGAGAAGGACCTGGGAGGAGATGTGTAAGACAGGGAAATTTGAGGGGACCCATTGGTGGCAAGGGTGATTATTTGGAGACGTATCGTTCAGCTGTAGTCTGCAGGGAAGAATGTAGCAGCTATTATGGCTATTTATCTGGCCCCGCTCGTGTCTGTTGAATTTTGGAAGTCCCTAGCCTAATGACTGTCATACTTATTTAACGAGTAATTCTATGTTATCGTTGATATTTTCGGTGCGATCTGCACGCCGATTGGGTCACCTCAAGGCAACAAGTAAGGGTCGCTCGCATATTGTGATTTCAGTCCACTCACAGTAAAGCATTCTTTTCAACAGGACTTGGTTGTTTTCCCTTGTCTATGCGTAACTATGTTGTGCACAGAAATCCAGATGTTGACAATGCTCCTCCTTATCAAAAGTCTGTTCGCCACAACGGCCACACATATAGCAATGGTCGCCTTTACCCAAGGTAAACATGCAATCTTCCATGACGTGAAACCTATGCATATCCACTCGACTCTCGAGGTTCCCGCAACCTCCACAGACATAAGATGTCTCGACCCTTACTGCTGGAATCGAGTCGCCACTCGCTCCACGTGGCTCTGACTTCGTTTGGGCTGATTGAATGATCGTGTTCCCTGACTCTATTGTATTGCTTGGGGCCGGTCTGTTGCTGTCAGGCAAGTTCTGGCGAAGAAACCTTTCTAGATCCCTTGGCAATGACGATGAGTCAATAATGGTGGCATCCGATTGATCAGCTCTGTGGCGTTGAATCTTGTTGTTATGGATATTCCACCCCCGAATTTGGACCGGTTTTCTTCTAGGAGGAGGCTCGGTAGGTACGTAGTCAGAGAAGCGTGGCGTAGCGCTTCCTGGTAAAGGCTTCTCTCTATCTCTTTTTGGCGTTGAGATTTGCTGGTCAATAGAAACTCTTTCGGAAAGTGGCGGTATTGCGTTGCCGTCCTCCCGGTTAGACGCTGTCAAAGGGGAGGGGGTATCCTCAGCACGAACTTGTTGGCCTGACCCTTGGTCTCTCAAGTTCAACTCTGCTTCGACAATGTTCTGCTTCGCATTTTCCCTGTCCAATTGCGGGAGGATATGGGTTGCCATTGTTTGAAGACCATGAGCTGCTATGGCTGTCAAATCATAGGCCGTTTGATCGGGCGATTCCTTAGATCTTATCGACGTGCTTCCCCATACTTCGGAAGCTCCACAGAATGCATCAACTACCATTGTTTGTTGATTTGTTGAGATAGCAATGTCAGAATCGACAGTCGATTTGTTGTCAGGTTCTGTACCTGCAGGCAAAGCAGAAAGAGATATTTCCTCAAGGTGCCTTGACAGATGCGCGATTACTGTTTTCTTCCCACAGCCTGTGTTCTCTAGACACAGAGGACATTGAAAAGAACCCCATTTGTCGGAGAAGCCATGCTCTAAAGCGAGATGCTGAATCCAATCATCTCGGGAATTGAAGGGCTCGACCCCATGTCGACACGAGGTCTGATGACAGACCCATGGTCTTAGATCATTGTACAAATGTCTCCTGTTATCTGTTAGCAATCTTTCCATCTATTTAGGAACATCCTAACATACTTCCAGCCCGAATTTGATGCCATGGTGACTCGGCGCCCGCAAGCTACGCACTCGAAAGGATCTCCTCTCTTGCCTTCCTCTGGCATCAGCGGTATTTTGATTGAGCAATCATTGTTCTGTCTGTAAGACATGACTGTCTCTGCGTATGCAGAAGTGGTAGCCAGCGATGTCCCAAGACCGGAGTCGTAAAAGCTCGATCCCTTCTCTGATTTATTAGCGACAACAAGTGCTGTTGAGGCCATAGCATGGTTTTCTTCGGTAACGATGTTATTTTTCTCCACTCGAATTCTCAGAAAGCGATCCCAGCTAGCCGTTGCAAGACGGTCGACAAGGTCTGGCTCAGCTTCGGGGAATCGATGGCCGATTTTGTCGGAGTAAAATTGGCAGCGCGTGTCTAGGTTCATGTACTTCGTCGATTCATTGAAACTGTTCGCCTTCCGATTATCGATGAATGGGGATTCAATCAGCGATTCCAAATCCATCAGACACTCAACATCTGTCCGCATGTTGTCTGCGATCTCTCCCCAGTCGGTTGGTCCAGATACTGAAGACACGTCGAAGTCGCTGTCTTCGCTATCGGAGCTTCCGCTCGTGCTTTGATAAGCTTCTCTAGCCTCGGAAGTCAGGTGTTCAAGAATTTGCGTGCGCGGGTGCGTCACCGACGGAGGAACTGGATATGTACCGGTTATAAGTTGCATCTGGAACAACACTGCGGGCAGGGAGTGCTTACCATCAGACAAAGTGCTGCCAATGCTTATCAAAAGTTTCAGCAATGACTTGCGGAGCATCCGGGACTTTTCTAGGGTGTGGTCCAGCTGGCCCTCCGTGACCCGGTGTCCATCTACCCACAATATGAATGAGCTACCGCTTCTCTCCAGGCTGCGATACGCAACTGTGGGTATGGCGTTTTGCGTTTGGATGCTTCTTAGTGCTGCTTTAGCTCCTTTGACGCATTCTTCACACAAGCGGCTAACAAGACTCTTTGCCTCGGGTCCAGATGTATCCTTCTCAAGCCAGTCATGAATTCGGGATGGGCCATCGGAGTCGGGCACCTGATCAAGAGCCAAACCCTTACCGGTGGTAGAACCTTCATTCGCGAGAAGCCAATGATGGATGCTCTTGCTATCGCCGAAGTCATTCTTGTGAGGAAGTGACATCGTGCCTCGAATGCGCAAAGGGCACCTTACGCTCGCGAGTCCGTGAGCAAAGGTGCTTCGTGATTCTGCGAAATTCTCTTGTCAAGCCAGGAAGAGGTTTGGGTTGATTGACTGCCAAACCTTCGCGCTTACTGAAGCGGCCCAGCTGACTCTCTGTTTGAGGGGTTAGGCTGAATCTCGGTGTCATGCAGCTCCATTGTGTTCCGATTCGCTCGGTTGGAGGCAGCCAACTGAGCGGAGAACAGAAGACAGCCCATAGAAAATCAGGCTGAGCTTGAGCTGGTATTCATCGAGATCAACTCTCTTTTTTACTCCTTGATTCTAGCTTCTCAGTCCCAAAAAGCTCGCCAATCCTGATCTGCGCCTCATGGCAGAGCTCGCATTAGGAATTGTGGGCGTCGTCCCTCTAATCGGCGGTGCTATCAAGGCGTACAAGGAAGTGCAGACCAAGCTAAAACTTTTCTGTCACAGTTCGAAGCAAATCAAGAGAATGCACCAAAGGTTCAAGACTCACCGCCAGGTCTTTGCCAACGAGTGCCGCCTCTGGCTGGCATTTGTCATAGATGATGACGTTGCGTCTGAGATGGCGTCTGACTCCGAACATGACGGTTGGAATGACACCTGTCTCGATGCCTCTTTCCGATCACATTTCGGGGATAATTATGATGTTTGGTTGGAAATAAATACAGAAATCTGTCAAAAAGTCGACTCTGTCGAGGCTAGCCTTGCCAACTTCAAAGAGACGAGCGAGATGAAGGTATTGTTGATAGATGGAATTCCCCACAAGCTCAGCTTCTGTTCTAACGTCAAAAATAGGACGGTAAATTGAAAAGGGTTCTCAAAAGAACCGTCGATGGAGTCAAAGTCGCCACCAACGCAACTGATATCAATGTTCTCATTGAGAAACTTCGCTCGTTAAACAATGAGTTGAAAGGCCTGCGCGAGCAGGTGGGGGAGATGCAGAAAACGAAGCCTCGATCCTGGGCAAAAATAGAATCTACACAAAAAGGCGACTGGGCCAGTCTTATCAGAGTTCGACGAGCTTCAAAGGCTCTTCATGAAGCTTTGATACGGACATGGAAATGTGGTCAGCCTGGTCACCTGGCACACGCAGTCAAGCTTTTCGTAGAAACGAAGAAAGTAGACGGCGAAGTGCAGATGAACATGGCTATCGTGTGCCGCAATCAGACTAGGGACTTGGTTCAGTCGATGCTAGTTCAGCTAGAGGTTCGATCACAAAACCTGGAATGGATCGAGCAGCCTAAGCTACCTAGAGAATTATCGCCCCCGGATGATCATCAAGCGGCACCTCGAAAACGACTGAAAGTCGTACGATTTGCAGAAACTACAGTGCAAACGCATTTCAAGGTGTGCGCCAGCACTACAACTGTCACTGTGGAACAGGGTCCGAATCGTGGCTCCTGCGACCTCAGGTCGTCCACAGACATCTGCAAAGAGCTGATGCGAAGTCTTAGTACTGATTGCCTAGGCCATATTGATGGTCAGTCAGACGAGCCTTTTCGCCACTCTTTTTATCCAGCCAAAAATGGTTTCTGTGGTGGTGCTCTCCAATCTTCCTACGCAGATCCTAAGGCCATCAGTATGGACGAAGTTCTTGACGAATCCTCGAAAGACTTCTTTTCTACAGTGGATCGACTTAAGCTTGCCCGATCATTAGTATCGGCTGTTCTCAAGTTTCACTCCACGCCATGGCTGAGCGACTTTTGGAGACTGAGGGACTTGGCTTTCTTCAAAACAGACCAGGATGAGGAGGTTTCAGAAGCACTTCGAACAATGCATCTGGGCGTCGAGGTTTCTCAGAGACAACTTAACTCGATGGAAGACGTTCAGATCTCACCAGAGTGCTCAAGGTCATCTCAAGTCTCGGAAGACGATAGACTATTCTGCGGCATCAATAACCTGACGCTTCACAGCCTTGGCGTGGCAATGCTACAGATTGATAGGTGGCTCAAGTTGAGCCAAGCGACATTCTTAATGTTCGTAAGATGGCATTGAGGAACTCTTCATTAGGCCCTCGATACCAGGAGATCACACAGAAGTGTCTTCGGTGCGACTTTGGATATGGGTCAGACCTCACAAAACCGCGTCTTCAGGAGGCAGTCTATGAGAATATTGTCGGTGCGCTGGAAAAGATGATATCTAGCCTAGACATAACGCAGGATTGATTGTGTACTATTTCGGATGATTATTTCTTTTCGGGCGTGGAGCTGGTCGAACAGACCACATTGGGAAATCTTTTAATGTCAGACCACGATGTTGTCCCTCAACTCCTTCAAATTGCTTAGACAAATAAGTGTCATGATCGTTTCTGTTGATGGGAATGGTTCCCTCCGTATTCCCAGAAACGGATGTGATGATGCGGTCACTTTTACCGGTTTTCTGTGGCCTTCCATAGCTCTTGTGAGCAGGAGCAATTGATGAACGCCAGCCATAATATCCAGATACAAGTCTTTACCATGGCTCCTCGGTATCTTTCATCTAACGGCTAATTGAGGAACTCTTTGCCACCTCTCAGCTCTTGCCAGATAGGTCGACTTACCCGGGTAAATTTTACCGGCTGTATGCCGCCAATTTTGCCCCATTCCAGTTTTCATCTAACCTACATTGATGTTGATGAATTTGAAGATGCTGCCTGAGAAAGAACGATGCCTATCCTGGTAGTTTTTGATGCGTTTGAGCTTGAAATGAAGCTTACCTCAACTATATTTGATTTCCTCGCATCCCCCATTTAGGACACTTCAGGCTTGGTGGTCTTTCTTTCCCAAGCAGTAAGCGTCCACGATGCGTGCCTACAACCTAGCTTTGCTAGGCTTTGCGGCCCTGGGTATTGCCGCTCCGCAATTTGGGATAGGTGAAGGCTCTGTTATTCTGATACCAGGCGGCAACTCTCCTAGCAACCCTCCAACTACGGTACCAGACATACGGCCAGGAAAGCGTCAAGTAAGTAGCCACATCCCACACTCTACTCGACGCCTTTCCCCACACGAGCCTTTCGATATTTCTTCTAGGCATCTCAATGGTCAATGGCCATGAATTAATCCTCTTTTCAGTTAGAATCAACCGTAGCACGCCGCGATGGAAATCTTGATGCACTCAGATATACCTACCGCACACTCCTTGAGCCCTATACCAAAGAAGCCAAGCCATCAGTTGGCACATACATGATACTGCTACATCTCGCCGATATTATTGCTGGCAAGGGCATTGCAGTTGACACCATCGTGCTCGGCGAAGCCTCCACCGTCTTTGGCCCCTCCTCGAAACGACAAATCTTTGAGATTGGCGGCTGCAAGGACTCTGATGTCATTGGCCTTCGCGCAACTTTGACGAGCCTGCTACTCATCTACGGGAACAAGCCTCCTTTCGAGATCTGGAACCTGGAGCAAGCCATCATCGCAGCCCTCAAAGCATGTGGTCAAGACATTGGTGTCGGTCCCATCATCCCCGACCAACCAATTCCTGGTGGTCCCATCATCCCCGACAAGCCTGTGCCCGGGGGCCCGATCATCCCAGACCAGCCGGTCCCGGGTGGGCCCATAGTCACTCAATCCCCGGTTCCCGGAGGTCCGATCACCCCCAGCGACTAGGTGTGTGGCTGCCAGCTCTGGTTGAGTCCCGGCCGAGTCTGAAGATGCGACCAGCAAATCCGTAGACAGAGCAGGGCACCACCGGAGGAACACTACGGACAAAGATAAAGTTGGTGCGCATGGAGAGTATGGAAAAGGAGGGAGGATGCAAAAGGCCATCTTGTCGGCCGCTGGAAAACCCTGTCATGAATCTTCACGATGTTTGACTTTCCCATGTCTTTCCGTTTCTTCTTCTTCTGATGATTACTTTCTCATTCCAAAAGGCTTGATTGACTTAAGCTCGCGGTTTCCGGCTCCAACGTGAGATGCGTTTCATGTTTGCTGAAAGACGAGTGTCAAAGCGTTACAGCCCTATATTCATGTTGAACTAACAAGACAGAGAAGCTTCGTGTTCCTTACTCTGACAGCTCACAACCTCGAGGCATCGACATCAAACGACAAGACAGGCGAGACAGGAACAGCGGAGCAGGCGGTAATCAAGCATTTCTTCTCCGAAGTCATCTGGTGTTTATTCGTCCTGAAGTTGGGCTCAAATTCTCATCTCAAAGCTGAAGAGTGAGATTGCGGTATGAGAATCATCTCAAGGTCCCGGATAGAGTCGCAAACGAGTATCAGCTATGATCCTCATCGTCGCAGGACGCCCGACACTCCCGGTCAGCCTCGTGATAAAGCCATCACCAAACCCACCAACATGTCAACGCCAAGAAACTCGACGATGGGTGTTCCTGTTTTTATCAGCCTTCTCCCGCAACTTTAACACCGAACACGTAGGCCTCATCACCCTTTTCCTTCGCTATCCGGTTCCGGTTCTAGAAGAGGCGCATAGCAACTCAAATCTCGCTCAGACAAGCTGTCAATGTTTCGTTATCACGGAAAGATATCATAGGGCAGCAAAAGTCAACTTTAACAACGGATTTCCCCCTGATCCTATTGCTTCTGCTTCAACTGAAGTCACGATGCCATATCCAATGACAAGCCCTCGGTCGCCGGCCCAGTTGTCCGAGGCGCGTCCCTGATGGCTGACAAACTCAAACAAGTTCTATTGCGGGCGGGAAGCCACAGTCCTTCGCGGTCATGTTTCACTTGAAACTCCCGACCGAACTCCGGCCAGTCTGCCGACGAGCACGGAGCACCCACTCCGGCCGTAAGCCTTCTTTTCTGGTACGGTGACCCCAGGAGCCACTCGGCCGCCCAAGAGGACTGCCGCATGCCGTCCGGCCGCAGTGGTGGAAGATGGGCGGATGGTAAAGTCGTAGTCGATTCAAGGATTTCCGAAAACGTGCTTCTGACCTCGTTCTTACCCCAAACCAGACAGCACACACACAAACACACATGCAGGACGAGAAAGGCTAATCTTGGTTGCTGCCACTGCTGCCACTGCTGCCATGACAA